ACAGAACAGTCTTTTATCTTCATCATTATGTTCTCCATAACAACAAAACAGAACAGTCTTTTATCTTCATCATTATGTTCTCCATAAGAACAAAACAGAACAGTCTTCTATCTTCATCATTATGTTCTCGATAACAACAAAACAGAACAGTCTTCTATCTTCATCATTATGTTCTCCATAAGAACAAAACAGAACAGTCTTTTATCTTCATCATTATATTCTCCATAAGAACAAAACAGAACAGTCTTTTATCTTCATCATTATGTTCTCCATAAGAACAAAACAGAACAGTCATTTATCTTCATCATTATGTTCTCCATAAGAACAAAACAGAACAGTCTTCTATCTTCATCATTATGTTCTCCATAAGAACAAAACAGAACAGTCTTTTATCTTCATCATTATGTTCTCCATAAGAACAAAATAGAACAGTCTTCTATCTTCATCATTATATTCTCCATAAGAACAAAACAGAACAGTCTTCTATCTTCATCATTATGTTCTCCATAACAACAAAACAGAACAGTCTTTTATCTTCATCATTATGTTCTCCATAAGAACAAAACAGAACAGTCATTTATCTTCATCATTATGTTCTCCATAAGAACAAAACAGAACAGTCTTCTATCTTCATCATTATATTCTCCATAAGAACAAAACAGAACAGTCTTTTATCTTCATCATTATATTCTCCATAAGAACAAAATAGAACAGTCTTCTATCTTCATCATTATATTCTCCATAAGAACAAAATAGAACAGTCTTCTATCTTCATCATTATGTTCTCCATAAGAACAAAACAGAACAGTCTTTTATCTTCATCATTATGTTCTCCATAAGAACAAAACAGAACAGTCATTTATCTTCATCATTATGTTCTCCATAAGAACAAAATAGAACAGTCTTCTATCTTCATCATTATCTTCTCCATAAGAACAAAACAGAACAGTCTTTTATCTTCATCATTATGTTCTCCATAAGAACAAAATAGAACAGTCTTCTATCTTCATCATTATATTCTCCATAAGAACAAAACAGAACAGTCTTCTATCTTCATCATTATGTTCTCCATAAGAACAAAACAGAACAGTCATTTATCTTCATCATTATATTCTCCATAAGAACAAAACAGAACAGTCTTCTATCTTCATCATTATGTTCTCCATAACAACAAAACAGAACAGTCTTTTATCTTCATCATTATGTTCTCCATAAGAACAAAACAGAACAGTCATTTATCTTCATCATTATATTCTCCATAAGAACAAAACAGAACAGTCTTCTATCTTCATCATTATGTTCTCCATAACAACAAAACAGAACAGTCTTCTATCTTCATCATTATGTTCTCCATAACAACAAAACAGAACAGTCTTCTATCTTCATCATTATATTCTCCATAACAACAAAACAGAACAGTCTTTTATCTTCATCATTATATTCTCCATAAGAACAAAACAGAACAGTCTTTTATCTTCATCATTATATTCTCCATAAGAACAAAACAGAACAGTCTTTTATCTTCATCATTATATTCTCCATAAGAACAAAACAGAACAGTTTTTTATCTTCATCATTATATTCTCCATAAGAACAAAACAGAACAGTCTTTTATCTTCATCATTATATTCTCCATAAGAACAAAACAGAACAGTCTTTTATCTTCATCACTATGTTCTCCATAAGAACAAAATAGAACAGTCTTTTATCTTCATCATTATATTCTCCATAAGAACAAAACAGAACAGTCTTTTATCTTCATCATTATATTCTCCATAAGAACAAAACAGAACAGTCTTTTATCTTCATCACTATGTTCTCCATAAGAACAAAATAGAACAGTCTTCTATCTTCATCATTATATTCTCCATAACAACAAAACAGAACAGTCTTTTATCTTCATCATTATATTCTCCATAAGAACAAAACAGAAGCCTTGAGAAACCTGAAAAGGAATATTCAGATTATTTGTACCACATTCCATTTCCTACATACCGTTTATTACCCATTATTATTCAATACAATTTGACAGCAGATATTCTCTCTAAAGAATAGAAACCTGAATAGAAATCAATCAATATTCTGATAATGTTTCTTCAAATAACAACTATTAGGATTCTCACTGTACATAATAAACTCCGTAAAAGTACACTCCACTGACTAGCTTATAATATTCTGTTGGATCCTGTTCGCCTTAGTGTCTAGGCTTGTGAGCACCTTGCCCTTGCTTGTTGGCTAACATCTGAGATGTGCATCAAACCTTCCTTGCCTCCCACATCAGATAACACCCAGTGATATAGCTGACACAGTTGCTCTTGCTTCCCAGTTCACTGCCCTGTGTGAGTGAGTTTTATGCCACTTTTAGTGATATAGCTACACACTGGTCTAACCAAACCACTGCTTCCCAGTCACTGCCCCAAACCACTCACTTTTAGTGATAAAGCTGTTCACTGGTCTAACCTGTGTGACTCTCTTGTCCCAGTTCACTGCACTGTGTGAGTGAGTTTTACGCCACTTTTAGTGATATAGCTACAAACTGGTCTAACCAAACCACTCTCTTGCTTCCCAGTTCACTGCCATGTGAAGTTTTACGCCACTTTTAGCAATATCCCAGCATACCCATGTGGGGAATCGAACCTGAGTCTTCAGCGTGACGACTGAACGTGTCAACCACAAGGCTAACACCCCCCACACACCCCCACCCAGTGATTACAACTGATTAGTGTACTTGTCAAATCTAACTTGTTACATCTAAAATTGACTGTATCTCAAATCTGGTTATCGAATTCCTACTAACTTAGACGATTATGAGTTCTTTGTAAACCATTGTAGAAATATATGAACATATATCATTCTGTTCTAGTATGAGAACTTTAAGAATCACTTCTGAAATATTTATCACAGCTGTTGCTTTTTTCTTAATGTTCATATAATGTTCACCACTAACTTAATAGTATGGGTTTAGATGCTGCTAGGCTGCATGTTGTAGCAGGTTGTACACTGGTCAGCTTCAGGGATGGGGTCACTTTGACAATGCCTAAAATATTTCTTAGGAATATTTACGTTAGAGTAACCGCAGGCTTGAAAAAGGTCTACCCAAGTTTGATGTTCAACACACTTCTTCAAAGCAATCACGCCCTTGAAACCCTCTTTAATCCCCCGTTTACTCGCAGTAAAAAAGTCTGTCTCAATCAAACCATACCGCAGGATAGCTGATGCAACGTGTGTGTTCGTGAGACGCGCACAGAAAATGGTGAAAGTCGACAGATTGCTTCTTAGGATCAGTTGGAATTATCTTGGGGTTGCAGTGTTAATGTATTCTGCATTAAACCCCGTAAGTAGATATGAGCGATGGAGAACTACAGCAGATATCCCGTGTGCGCTCGCCACTAATGATTCGATTGCCACTTAAGGCCCAGTGGCGTTGCAATTTAATTATGCTCAAGTACATCATTGAGTCGATGACTGTGCTAGTTTACTTGAAGCACATATGCTTGCATTTTGCCTGATTACTGTGATTGCGTAATTCATTACGTTAACCTAATACACGTTAACTGATTAAATGTGGTGATGGGTCTATTATTATATAGAGGCAACATATGAAACTGATATATAAAACCAACGAAGATTAAAAGCGTGACGAAATGGAATGGTTCTTTACTGTGAAAACTTTTCTTGTTTGTAAATGATGATGAGTTATATGATCCATACATTCTTTCAACTGGATTAGATGTGTTGTTGACATTTACTTGGAGTTTCTATTTTCACTGGTATCAATGGATACCGAGAAAATATATCATCTTATTATGAACATATGAAACATCACTTCTAAGTGTGTCTGATTTGATACTCATTGCTTGACTTTGGGTGAAAATAAATAAAATGTGTGCATGATAAAACAGTTCCATTTAGGTGCTGATAAATTCATCAAGAGAATGATGTTTAATGTCAGACAGCAATATTTCAGCCTTTAAATCCTTGAGTATTGACTGCAAGACCAATGATCCATGTTAGGGTGGAATGCTGGCGTGCAGTCAGTAATATTGTATCCATAAATAATTGAGCCTGTACCATTGACTGCGTGACTAAACACCAACATTAACATGGAACACTGTCCCCGTGTTTGTTGGTTTAACTGTATGAAGTATTTTGGTGTATACTGACACAGGAGGACCCATTGTTGTTACTTGAGACATCAGACACATCATTTGCAGAAATTTCCATATCTCTCCCAGGTACCCACTTATTGCTGGGTTATCAGTGAGTGAGTTTTATGCCACTTTTAGCAATTTTCCAGCAATATCATGGCAGGGGACACAAGAAATGGGTTTCACACATTGTACCCAAGTGGGGAATCGAACCTGGATCTTAAGCATGACAAGCGGACGCTTTAACCACTAGGCTACCCCACCACCCCAGGGTTATCAGTGAAATATCTCATCAAAATCTACCATTATAGAAACATTTGACCATGACAATTAAGAGGAGAGTTTCAGTTCAGGTGCACCTGTCTTAAACCATGAATACAAATGCAGGTCACGGGGAAATCAGTGGAAGCAGAAGTGTGTTGTTTTCATGGGCCTCTCCTTCAATCAAATCAAACAACTCAACACGTAACCCGGGTTTATTTTTAAATAGGTTTTGTCAACACATTTTGTAACCATTTCAGTGAACCATACATCTTAAATTCCTCTTTCAACCCACTACATTGCATATCTTGTGACTTTAAACTTCTTGAATGTCTACTAGGGACCTGCTTCTCAACACATGTTTCCATTCCTGGGGGAAAATATCAACTTCCATCTTAGTTTGACAAGTTCCATCAGTCAGTTTTTCTGAATATCTGCTTCCCTTTCAGCTGAATGCAGGGGCAACATCCACCCACCATCCTGGAAACCTAAGCGTTCACCCTCATTCAAAATATTTTCTTTGATGTTATCTTTTAACTTTTGTTACTATTTAGTTGCTTCAACCCTAAAGTCTCTGTGTTCTGTTTTCAGGAGGTCTTGGCCATGATGGAATCAACCACGGGCAGGACATCCATCGAGCGAGCGCGAGCAGCACGGGGAGTTTTGGGCGTGGCAGTAGTACAGGCAGCCTCAGTAACACATCCACGCCCACCAACACCCCCAACACGCCCCTTGTTGTGCCACAACCTGTTAAGCCCAATCGGACCGGGAAGACCTACCAATGCAAGATGTGTGACCAGGTACAGTACAACGGGCAATCGGTTCCCAATGTGAGTCAGTGAATGGGTGGGCTTCAACACCTTATTCAGCAACCTTAGCTATCTGACAGCAACTTTCAAAGCAGATTTGAATCTGGGACAAACCAGTGGTCAATACTGTGAGCATCAGTAAATGTGGGTATTAAACTGAAACCAGTCAGATCACCGCAAGGGGTAGGTCTTCCTGGGAGGTCATTCTGACACTGTTATGGTATTTCTTATGACAGATGGGGAATTGGTATTCTTGCTTAGAGGAGGTAGAATAAACTCTTCCAGAAACTTGTTCCTTAATGCAAGCATGGTATGGTTTCTCATCTCTACTAGGTTTTCACTGTTCAGAACAGATAGAAAAACAAGCAAGGTTGTAAAACAAAATTTATTGTTAAAGACTGATATTTCAGCTACCGAAGTAGCTAATGGCATCGATGGAATCATCTGAGAAATTCAAAACAGATAGTGCTGCATGTAAAACACATGGATAGGTTTACTGATATCCAGGAAGTTGGTTTTTAGTAAAATTAAAAAACAAAAATTAACATTATATTCAAAAGACATACAGATCATTTCCAAAGAAAGACATTATTTTCTATCATGATGATTAATAGGGATATTGTCCAGCTGCTGTTAGTTTGAACATAGATTCATCATGTAATCATTAGGGCTGCAACGAACACACTTGGAGATGATTGCGATATGTATCGCGAATAAGTGCTAATGAATACAAATATCTATTCCAAATTCAATATCGAGTCATTAGTTGATGTATTATTTATTCAGTGAAACAATAACAAAATAAATGATATAACATGGTTTGACTGACAGTGGTTAATTTATCACAAAAAATTACCGCTTATTGCCTAATGTTTTTGTTGACAGCACCATAATCTCCTTGGCAAAGTGACACATGGTGTACTTTTTTCTATTTTGTTCATATAACTGTAATAAATAACAAACAGTTGCAAGCTAAAAAACACTTGTTCTCTAAAGCAGTTGTGATTATATTCCATTCTAATGACCATGGAAATGGACTGAATTCAGGAAGGGATACCATTTGATTCACCAAATATGTGTGCGAATTGTAACAACTCCAGTAATCCATAAAATTCTGAACATAACTTTTTTTGCTAAATCCCTTTGTTTTGAGACTATAGCTCCCCTGTACTCATGCTATACAAGAACTGTACTGGAAAGGGGGGCAACGTTGGAAGTAACCTGGCTGGTTGCCATAGCAACCGTATTGCCTGGATATGATGCCGACACTGGTGCCCTTGTTCCAGACTCGACTGCTTTGCAGGTTGCTGTTATGTAGCAATAGAATTGCCGAATACGGTGTCAAACCAACAATTGTATTAGTTGAAACCTAATTGAGATGGATGTTTTTTATGTAATTGTCTTGAAAAATATTGTACTGAAAAGTTACTTTTAAAGAATTGTTTTCAAACAGGAAAATCTTTGTCAAAAAAAGGTACTATAGGCTTGTGTGCTAACTGGTTGAATATTTCTTGTTGTTCAGTGAATTGTTTACAAACAGGAAAATCTTTGTCAAAAAGATGGGCACTATAAGCTGTGCTTACTGGCTGAATATTTCTTTGTGTGTTTAATGGTTGAATATTTCTTGATGCTCAGCGAAGAGGTTTTGTGGCTGTTCCATTGCTTGTTGCTAGGACAGATGTTCTTTACTGTTGGGTTTCTAATACTGGTCGGTATCTCTGTTCAGGCTATTAGTTTTCAGCATGGAGAAATAACCCTGATATGTGGTATATCTACAGAAAATAGAGAGAATGAGTGATGGTTGATTGAAAAAATTAATCTTCTACAGAAAAAATAACAGCATAAGCCATTTTAAAAATGCATAAAATACGGAAAACCAATTCCTTGCTATCTGCAAGTCACAGTCTGTGTTCATATGGCTGTCTGAGAAAGCTAGCATGGTGATAACTGAAAATAAAAGTTTCATGCGGTCATGAGTGTGGTATCATCATAATATTGTCTCTTGTCGACTGACGACTGATAAAACTCAGAGAAAAACCTGCAGTTACTGGAATGTCTGATTATTTTGGAAAAGAAAAAGTTTGGCAAGGAAAATTCTGCCTCTATCTAATGTTTATTTTGGCTGACGACCAGGGATATTATGTCGGGCGAGGGAGCTTTGAACTGAATGAGTGACTATGGTAATGTTATACACCAATTTGCCTCTATGTCTTGTTTTGGCAGACGGAAATTTGTTAAATTCGTCCGTCCATCGTTGGTGTCACCTCTTCAGTGTCAGTAGTCAAGACTAATACGATTCGGGAAAATGGCCGTCTTATTTGTTTGAACGTTTTGCCATCTGGGCTGAAGGGTTGCCGACAAAATTTCAATGTTACATAACACTCGTCCAAGCTGGGAGCTTTCACTTGTGAAATTAACTGCTCTGTTTATTTTAGGTTGCCATTTTTTGCAGCTTTTTTTATCAGCATATCTTCCAGATGTGCGATCTTGTTAAAAGTTTGGAAGCTCTAAGCCCCATGAGGCAATGGCCAAAAGCATGCAGTTACATTTTGAAGTTTTAATAGTAAAGCCTGCTCTGACCTGAAACTAGATCGTATTACTCTCCCCTGTCATGTATGGGTAAAGAAATACAGTGGAAAGCGAATGACTTTATGATTATCTTTACTTTTCAACTATATAATTTGCTTTTCACGTAATTTACGACCATATTTTTTATGCTATTTGTGTATTTTTCTGTTCTCAAGTGATTGATGAACATAATGGTAGTATGGTCACTGGCTTTTGATGAAACCCTGATAATAAATATGGTATTTGTCATTAGTCAGGGATATCGTGAGCAGTCTCAGGGGATATGTCAGCTGTGAAGGAAGTCTTTCATTCAGACAATATATTTTCCTTATCACCCTTCAAGACCCATGCTAAAACTGATTACACAAATAATAGTTTCTATTGTTATGATGTTTATTGCATCTTGGAAAATTGTTGTTCTCTATAGTCAGTATCAGATTTATCAACATGGCTGCCATGGCAGACATATTGCAAGTGAACAAATCAAACTATTTTTATAAGGTTCTTGTAATTTACATTTAAGAAACATTGCAAAATTATCATGTGTCTGGGGCATTTTGATATAGCACAAATGTTGTTTAAATGGAATAGAAAACAATTCTGATTTCAAGCTGTTTTTTAGAAATCGTGTTTCTTGTGAGTTTCTTCAAAAACTTCCTGTCCTCTACACAGAAGGCATGATCACATGCAAAGCCATCAATCACTAGAAACAGATAACTAATTGTGCTCATCAATTACTGATCTCAAAAGATGGTAATTTTCTGTGGATCCCAAGAAATCTATGGGTATTTGGAACCAGGACCCATTATCAGGAATTGTGATGAGGGTATCTGTTTAACCAAAATAATTCATTGTGTGTGTGTCTATGAGTGATTTTTCTGTGCATGGACGGATTTCCAAATTCTAAAAACATTCAATTCAGGCTTTTCTGCATCTTATGGATAAAATTCCAGAGAGGGAGTCCAGCCATTTGATTTCTTCCGCACAGAAAACGATTTAATGATAGCCACAATGTTTATGAGCAGGTTCAAGGAGCACTTGACTTCAACAAGTCCTTTGTTTCAGAATAACTGAGTTCATCAGTGTTTAACATGTCCTGAAACTTTTTCTTGTTTTTTTTTCCAGATCTTCAATACCAAATCTGATATGCTGATCCACTGCCAACAGATTCACAAGCAGGACCCTAAGCCTTACAAATGTCCCACTTGCTCAAAATGCTTCGCTAACTCGTCATATTTATCGCAGCACAACCGCATTCATACAGGGATCAAGCCGTACAAATGCGAGATCTGTGAACGCAAGTTTACGCAGCTTTCACACCTTCAGCAGCACATCCGCACCCACACTGGAGAGAAGCCGTACAAATGCATGCATCCAGGCTGCGGGAAGGCCTTTTCACAACTCTCCAACCTGCAATCTCACTCGAGATCACACATGACCGACAAGCCGTACCGCTGTAACTCTTGCTACAAGTGCTACGCTGATGAACAGAGTTTGCGCGATCATATTCCCAAGCACTCGGACACTAAACATCTCAAGACTCACATATGTCATATATGCGGCAAATCCTACACGCAAGAGACATACCTGACTCGGCACATGGCTAAGCATTCTAATGAAAGTCATAAAGTGGCGCCACGACCAATCAAAACTGAACCCCTGGATCCCGCTGATCGAGACTATGGCCGGATGTCCGAGAAGTCTTCACAAGATGGACATGTAGGTGGCGCCTGCAGCAAGAGCGTATCATCTGCATTCATGCCGCTGCCACAGTTCGGTCCCAACGTCAGCAGCAGCTCCAACTCAAGCTATCCCTATGGCCCTAGCCTAAGCTCAAATAGTCTTAGCTCTCCTCTCCCGCACATATCATCGATGACATCTCCACGCTACTTCCCATATGATCCAATTGGATTCCGCAAATCAGATCCTCCAGAAAGGAACCTGAACGTACCCATGACTACACGAGACAGTATGATTGCCAACAGTCTACTGAGTCTGCAGCACATAAAGAATTACGCTTCTCAGCAGATGCCCAGCTTTACGCCAACATGCACAAGCGGGTCTCGACTCACATGATTTGCTAATACAGTAGCAAGGTAGACATGTATCAGATGGTATGACGTCATCCTGATTACTTCTCTGCCACTGGTTATGACCGCATGTCTTATATAATATGTACTTGGCGTCAGTGGTCTTTAAATGGCATAGGACATGCAGTTGGGGTACATGTGTCACTTACATATTTTACAACTGTATTTTCCAGAAGTTGCCATGATGTTCATGACATCAATCTAACATTCTTCTTCCCAGATCCTACAACGACGAGCACTGAAGGTTGTGGAAGAAGGATTTTAGATTAGCATTGCTTGATAGAAGAGTATCCCTAAAACATCCAAACCAAATGACAAACAAATTTCCTTATGTAAGTTTAAAACCATGAGATTGACTTTTGAACTGTAAATATTTCTGCCTTGAGATTGTAATATTTCAAAGAATGTTTGACTTAGTGCCACTGCATATTAAATGTTGTATTATAAGGAAATTTAAAACTTTGATTGTTTTTAAAACTACATCAATTGCTTCTTCCCAATGTTCCTGAGAAAATATCCAGCGAAACTGATGTACAATTTTTTCCAAATGGATTTTTTCTGGACCTGTATCTTGCCAACTCTTACCAGTGGCAGATTGAACATTGTTTGTTATGATGATTATTTTAGTGACTTGACTTTTGTGTGTAAATGACACTGTTTCTATTGTGCAGGATCTGCAGCTGTCTTGTGTGTTAGATTATAAATCATGTCCTTATTATTGAGTTGTTTAGCTTTGATGAATATCATCATCCTTTAGATAGGACCTGCTTCTGAAGCACTTCGTGTTGTCTGCATGTAACTTGTATGAACAGAAACCTTGTTGTGCTGATATAGTCAGTATTATAGAGGTTGGTGGGAGGAGATTCCATGATGGTTAACATACTGACAACGTTATTGTCGTTTTGAAGTCATTGCCTGTATGTCACAAATAATCACTTTAACAAGAATTTAGAAATATTTGACAATTTGCTTGAGCTTGCTTTCACAACCGTTATGAGAACAAGTTGAAAAATCCTTCACAGTTGAAAACGCTGTTTAATTGTTTATGTGTCTTTTTACAAAAGTCATTATCATTTTGACATTGCCATGGATATGGCTGACAAGGACTATTAAAAATGCAAACAGAATTATCATTTTTTCACGATTTCATTATGAGGTTCCACATGTGAAAGTGTTTTTTTTCCTTTTAACATTATGGGCTGAATCATTAAACAGCTTGATTGTAGAGCGCAACAAGGTTTGGTTGTATTTTATGTCATACAGGCATTTAATGCCTGCTAACTCTATAAACAGAACTCACCCCTGATTCTATCAGACATATATCCCACTATTGGGAATGATGTACAAAAATTTCATGTTTCTTTTCAAGTTATGTTCATTGCTCAGTGAAATTATGATGCTGCATCCTATAGGTGTATCCAAAGGTAATTTTTGTATGAATTTGTAACAAATTCAAAAAAGGTAACAGAATTCTGAATTCAGAACCAAGTTTTGTTATGTTCCCGATTCCGTGCCTCTCAACCAAATTTGGACACCATGAGGTTCAGTTACATCTGTCCTTGACCTTTGTTGTTCAGTCTGGTGATGGTCGCTGAACACTTCCCACAAACATGCGTGCTGTGTTTCTTAGAAACAAGACATGTTACTCTGATCTCTTGTATTACAATGTGTTCAAATGCTCATCATTTCATTTGTAGATGTAAAGTACTTTTTACCTACATATCTATATTCAGGGCCCCTTACTTTCACAATAGGGCCCTCACTATGAATTGATATAGTTGCACCTTGGAGTTAATGTCATTGTGTAGAACATTTGTAGATAAATTAGAAAATGGCTGACATTTTCAAGTTTTCTGGAGGAAATTGCATTCAGATCTTGTAAAGATAATAGCTTTAGATTCATACAAGGTCTTACATTTCTTTTGTTTACTGACACTTTGAGAAGGTTTGGGCCTGAAGAAAAACAAATGTTTGTAATTAATGTCACAAAGAAGCACTTTCCTCCAGGTAACTTCAGAATACCTAGAGTATTAAATCGGTTTATACCAATGTTGCAATTACATGAAGAAATTATTTAAATTATGATATTTATTTTCTTTGTCAGTTTGGGAGAGTGCAAAACAAAGTAGTAAAATTAATTACTATTTTCTTCAGAGCTGCTTATATGGATATGTCACGCCTGTGCATGTTTCCCAGTCTACCACAGACTATTGTGGTGTGTTCCAGTTCTCTCTGTTTTTTTCTTGAATTATTCAAGAGTTCCACATCTCATAACATTTGGCGCCAGTAATCTCTTTATCAAACTATTTACACTATTTTGCAATTTGCTGTTGGAAATATTTCTTCTTAATGTTACTTTAAGAAACAGAAACTCTAAAACATCACACACCAAAATAGCTTGTCCTTTACAAACCCTTTCTTTATTAGCAGCTAGATTTTTGAAAGTAGAGAACCTGTTTCATCAAATTTGTTGTTTAAATGGCATATATGTTGCTCATATTAAAACACATTGATTCATGTGCTAATATTGACGCATTTATAACGTGTACTACCACGTAAATACATTTTCTGTTCTCGCCATGTAGATGAATGGTAATATGTTGTTATGAATGTGTTATTTCTCTATGAATAGACCAGTACAATTGCTAAGAATCCTTTTTAAACATCTATATTTTAAACAATTTCTTAAACATCATTCAAACCTGAATTTCATTCTTATTATCCGGCAATTCATTTGAAATAATAATATTTCTTTGTATATTAAAATTAAAAAGGTCATTTACAATTTTTGTGAACATTTTGTAATGGTTCCTATACTGTATACGATACGTTGGATTTCCCTTAAGTGATGTTAATATCTAAATAATTGGGTACATTTCTGATATTAGTTTAAGAACAGTGAATAACAAGTGTAAACAACACAACAAATATGTTCATATTTGTTACCAATATGTTAAAACAGGTATATGTTTAGTTAGTCATTCATTAGGAAATGTTTTGTGCAAGTTTTTCATGTGCGTCCGACATCTGAGATGCTCGGACACATTGTTCCTCTACCATTCCCAGCTAAGCCTCTCTGCATGAACCAGTTGCTTACATTTTTCATTAGGTATTTAAATTTGCTGGTTGAGTTTTCAACTTGTCATTTTCATGTTTCATCAGCTTTTCAATTTTTAAGGTTGACAATCTCCCTTTTCGCCCCTTTGCGTCCCCTCTAAAATAATATATTTTCATCGTACAGGGGAGCTAACCCAATCAAATTGGGTGTGAAAGCGCTGTTTCTGATGATTTTATGAGTGTTTGTCTGAAGAATGATACACTGATTGCAGGCAATCAAATTGGCTGCAGTCACTGATGAAGAACTACAAACTACCCAAAGAGTTGATAGGGCAAAAAGGCAGCTATTGTAAGTTATTTCTAAGCTGACAAAATTATGGGGGCCTTAGTTACCGTCAACTGCTACAGATCATTAATTTGAATTGGTTGTCTCTAACGAGGCTTTAATTTGTTATCACAAGGCATGATGGGAAAATCATGGGATTGCTATGTTAAACATGTATGCTCATTTAGTAAGGATTGATGTTTGTTTACTGGTTATTAAGTTTTCTTACTCCTTATCTGTATCTGGTATTCCGAAGACAACGATATTGATAACTATGTACTGTACAGTTACTAGGTTGTGGCTTGGTTATGTATACATGTAAATGCTGTTGTACTAACGATACCTGTTGTTTCCATCGTCTTCAAGTGTGATCACTATTATCATTACGCCTCCCTTTGTGTTTGGGTCGGCATCAACTGTTATATGGAGGTTCTTACAGTGTGTGACCTCTTTCCCATTACTTGTATCAGAGTTGTCTCCCCTTTGCTTGTGTATGATGGTACATCGTGATCATATCACGTGACCCAAGTCTTAGAAACAACACCACTTAAAAAGTGGATGTTTTTCTTGCATGCTCAACTGAGGATTTTGCACTGGAGAGAATTCAATATTTACTTGTACCTATTTCATTGTGCATACGTAGATTATTAACACAATTATCAGTCTGGATCGACCCGATGCAAAGGGGAGGCAAATCTATAACTGTTATTTGTTAATATGTATTAATTGTGTTAAAATTTCTCTAAAAAAATATTTCCGATGTCATGATGTAGTTGTATGATGTACCCACAAATGAAAGTTGACACTTGACAATAGTCCAGTCTAAACCTTATTCCTTGTAACATGGTGTAGTAAATTGTCATTCCTAGATCGAAGAAACCGGAATGAAACTGGATTGTCTTTTAGATGCTAGTACTATGATATATTAGATATATTGTATGCACAAACGTTTGTGTACAGCCACAATCCCTCTATGGGACTGCAGCACTCTTCTGATTGTCCGAGAGTATGTGATTACGTACTAATGTAAATGAATATTTGTGTGATGAACAAAATATTGTGCTGTCAAGTGAGATACCATACAGAGAGATGTTCATTTCGTATACAAGTCCATATTTTATCATTGTCAGCACTTGTATCTTCATTCTGATTATTATGAAAACACTTCTTATATTACAGTAGTAACTACTCTGTTTATCATTATGTGTGTACTTCAAATTCCTGTTAGTATTCACCGTGTTTTATCTGTGTAAATTGTCTCTTCTGCACCAGAACGTGCATGTTCTTGCATTGTTGTTAACAGTTGTGTCAGTTCAGTTAAGTGGATACATACGATGTGAAGCCTTTTACTAGCAGATTCATACACCTTCATTTACAAATCTTGTAGATGGTGACTTTTTTTCTCTACTTGGCAAAAATGAGTGGCATCAGACTCTTATTTAGCTCATGATATGGTTGAATGTATTCACGCACTGAGAATAATCTATGCCAAAGTGTATGGCTTGTCTGGTCTAGGGGAGATAATTCAAAGTGGTTATTAGATGCACCTGTAAAATCATCTAATATCTAAACTGACATAAAACATCTAAAATTATTCATTTAAACACCAATTACATTTACATTTTTTAAAATGAAAAAACCCCAACCCAACCCCAATCTGTTTTAAATTATTTTATCTTACAGTTAATTAATTGGGATAAAATACACTTTTGTAAAAATAGACTCTCTAAAATTTATAAAGTTAGTGAAACTGTTTCTGATGTATCAAGATTTCATCATTCCATAATGAATGAACAACAAAATTTCAATTTTAAATGAATAAAGACAATTCATTATTCAAATCAAGGTAAAAATAAAAAGATATCATTACTCAAAACAAACTACATATGAACAGCAAGATTTCATTATCACTCTAAAACACAAGTAAAAATGTATGCATGAATCATTCTCCCCTACACATAAAGCACAATGAAGTTGTCATGTTCAGATAGGCAGAGTATGGATGAAATCAACATGAACAAGGCAGCATGTCTTTTGTTAACCTTTCATCTGCTGATTTCATCATCTATTCATTCATCAACTTGGATCATTTTCTTTTTTTTTCGCACTTGAAAACATTTTCATTTATTTCATGTAGAAAAACAAACATCTTTTTCGCACAACATGGGAAAAACGTTTCCGTGCATTTTTTGCGAAAAGTTTTTACTTGATGATTGTACATGGCGATGGTATAACTCAACGAGGCAGCAATCAGGAGTAGACAGCATTACAACATCAGCTGGTATTCTCTATGCAGAATTATATCACCTACATGGGCCTTTAAAGTCTTAATGTGTGTTCAAACAGATGCTTGGCAGTTGTACATTTTCCAAAGCCAATTGATTAAAGGGGTATAAAAATGCTCACTTATCATGTATGCAAAGAACTAATGCTGTGAGCAGAATTCATTTTAAAGAATTCGTATTCAGAGATGCAGGTATAACTATAACGTAATTATTTTCCCGTTACTTCCCCTTCTGCCTATTTTTTGTTATTAATTTCATGGACATTTTTGTCTGTTCAGAAACCAAAGGATATCACCAACTTTGCAATATACTTTGCAAGGAAGATCATTATTGTCCAGAGATGTCACTATGTAGAATGAGAGAGTGAGCATTATTTTGACTGGTATGAATGCTTGTGGCTTGATGTCTCCCTACAATCGATGCATAGGTAGATATTCATGCATCACTGAAACCATTCCTGATTTTATTAAAGCAAGTTCCTATTTTTTAAATTCCTTAAAATTTGAAGCAGAGTCACATATATCATAGAATGAAGACAACAGTAATCTTGATTGATATATGTTAACTGGATCCTGTGTATAAAAAAGGAGAAAATAATAATTGTTAATTACTTACTTGCTTAATTACTCGTTTGTACAAAATGGATAACAAATATTTTTGATAATCAGAATAAAAACAAAATTCAAAATGTGATGTTTTTAGGAACATTTGTGTATGGCCAAGACAAGATAGTACATAGATGAGTCTAGCAAGGCCAGTAGAATGTTCGGTTGGCAATAAATGCAACAAAGGAGAAGAAAAACATCTAGTGGCTCAACTGCTGTTTGTAATAATGGGCAATATGAATGAGTGGGTGAAAGGTCGATGTGAGACAGAGAATGACTGACCGATAGGTGGGGTGTTACAGCTGAAGCCATCAGGGTTGTGACAATAACTCTACCCATGAAAGATGGTAGCAAAATCTGATTAGTGCCAGGAGTGTGATATAAGAAATGGTTAGGACATGAGGAATATTGACTCTGAAGATGACAAGGTATGATGATAATACTGCTCTCAGTTCCTCCATTGGTCTCCTCTCAGTACGTTCTAACTTACTGGGGCCACTGTCATCGAAGGACAGTAAACCCATAACCCTGACGGCTTCAGTTGTTTTGTCTGTGAAATAGCTCAATTTTTTCCCATCATATGGTACAAGGTGCTGACATATATAACAAGCTTTACATTTTCTATGCATGGAACTTTCTAACACATTCCAGTCACAGGTTCTGAGTTTAACATCCATAAGGCAGCGAATTATATGAAAATTGATTTGGAAAATTTTACATTCATGTGAAACATGATAAAATTTAGTCGGTTAGTTCATCCAGGATCTCGTGAGAAAAGATTCTTGCAGATGTAAAACCTAAACCTAAATATCAAACTTGCTATTCAAATCCGTATGGGGTTTAAAAAATTACAGCTGAAAGGATATGCATAGCTGTTTTCACCTTATCTGAAAAATGCTGAAATTTACACCAGTATTGTGTTATGTATGAAAATAACTTTCAATGTTGCAATCAGTTATCCTGACAAATGTTTGTGTAATATAACAAATTTATGTGATTACATTTGGAGTAAGAACTACATCAAAATGATTCTAATTATATATTTTCTAGTTTGCGATTTAGGAGTAACCTAAATGCAACTTTTGCAAATCTCAGAGGATGTTATATAGTTTTCATTGCAATACATGTTTTACTGCTGCTGTAGTCGTGGCTGTGACAGATGACCATACCGTAGAGATTGTCCAGTAACAGATTGTATATGTCATAGCTGACACGACAGTAACCCATGGGTAGATGTCACAGCCATGCATATTACAGCCTTATAAGGAGTTATTACACAGTTGACCAAATTTCCATATTTTTGTTGGTTATTTTGAAATATATTAAGATGTGAAAATTGCACTTTTACAGGAAAATGGTGTTGTTATGGTGTGAATGAATGAGAATTTGCTAGGATATGTTAAGAACTGATGCCACTTATGTTTGCCTGTTCTGAAAACAGGCTTTGGTTGTGAGGTGTGGTTAGTTATGTCTGTCAAAGTGTTGTTTTTAGATGAAGTACTGTAGACAACAAGCAAATCATATATAATCTGTACTTACTCAGAACTGGATGTGAAAAAAAAACCACAAAGATTTTCTTAAGTATTAAATTTTGAATATTGTCATTCACTAAAATTCCATTTTTCTAACTCTAACCAAAGCCTGTTGACAGCTGAAATAGCCCTGTTAACAATGCTTATGTTTCAGTTTCAGCAGGAAATCTTCCACATGGCATCTCTGTAGAACTTTGTGGTAATAACCAGGCAATACTGGTTTATATCATAGGTCTTCGTTATTGCTTTCTTGACATCTTTTTCAAAAGATTACCAAAGAGTACTGACTGGTAATTGTCAGAGGTAATTATCAAATCCTCATTGACCCAATGAAACCACAAAATCCTGATAAATCACAATTCTATGACAATGGATACATGTTCTTGGCATGCAAAACATGTCTTGATTCAGATAATCAAAATTTAGACCAAATGAAATATCTACTTGTTGGTGTTGGATTGTATTTGAAATCTTGAGTGAGACCCAAGTGTTTTGGTGCATGTCATCAAATTGTAAACAGTGGAGTGGAACGGTTGCCATGGTTCCCATGGTTTCCATGATTATCAGTAGATTTCTAGAAATCTCCATCATGCCATCTCCAAATGAGGTCGCCATCTGTCATGTCTTGAATATGTCATCATGTCTTGTGATATTATCAGCAATAGAGCAGATTTATCAAAGTTTTGTCAGAAACTGTCCTGTTAATGGCATACACTGGTGAAGTGTTTAAGAATACATAATCAATCAATTTAAAAATGTGTGCAATATTTTGATAAACTATACAGTGTACTGTAACAAAATGGAAATAGAAAATGTTTACATTTCACACATTTCTTCTAGGAATTGATACTGGACATGAACCAGTTTAAAAAAATTAAACTAGTCTCTTTTAGGTTTAGACTCAAAGATAGCTGACATGAACTGCGAGTGATATTTTGAAATTTTCGAACATCATACAATGTATTGTTGCGTTTTAGGCAAATAATGGGAAAAGGATAGCAGGCATGCTTCCCTTCAACTGATGTTACTTTCAAGTTTACGGAAACTATAACCAGCTTTCTGAGGGTAAAATTAGCAATGTTACTAGGTAAATGTACATGTAGTGTCAGTCAGTTTGAGAGCATTTCATGTGGGCACATGCATCAGCGTAAACTCGTCAATACCCAGGAACAAGCATACCATACCCATTTAGTCAAGTACTGCTTGTCCTGGATATCGATGGACATCTAGAAACCATAACGTGTATTCAAGTTCACTTTGGCTACTTCATGAAAGGTTGGGATGCAAGAGGTTAAAATGTACTTTTTAACGTTCAAAACGTAGGTTGATGCATGGCGTTCACATAGGATTCTTGAAATTAGGAATGAGTTCAACTCAATATCTGGCAGCCCCTGTGGTATTCTAAACACATATCCCTGCCTAACAGTAGGGTAGTCCTTGTAGTCACGGGACAATAAACTCTGTGTCAAGTAATACATCTGCCTTATCCTGCTCACATAATCTGAGAAGCCATGTGCGAGGAGGTGTTTTTTCCTTCTTTTTTTTTGTGACGTTTTAATTACTATTTATCCATCCATATCACTCTGCCATGTTTGTGGGGTGACTAAACCTTGTTGGTGCTTTTCTTTTGCCCTTAGCACCACTGGATGTATTGCAATTCTCTTATCCCAGAAGAGTGATCTCCCCTTACACACTTTTCGTTTGAATCAGATTCATGAAAGTTCAAATATAATTCTGAATTAATACACTTACAAAAATGCAAGTGTTTGTTCTGTATTGACCAGCAATGGGAATTCTTTGCCTGGCTAATGATTTGATTATTCGCAAAGTATTTGACAAGGTAAAAGACAAGGTCATTTGGTGAATCATTATGGTGAATGTAAAGGGAGCCTTCACATACTTCTTTCACTCACTGGCAACCTCTCAAGGGATTCTTCAGTCCTAGTCTGAAGGCAGAGGCTAGCTGACAGTAACGGCTTGGAAGGTTTTCATTGTTCGTATTGTGATAAATTTTGGGATAGTTTGTTTTACTTGTCCTTTGTTTTCTTCTTGTATAAATAAAAAATATATGAGAAAATACCCTTCAAAAGTTTGGCAAATGAATGAAGGATTCTTATGTATTGTTTCTCATAGAAATACTCTCAAATATATCTTTTATCATGAAACATTTTATCAAAATCAACAATATCACTTTGAAAATAGGTCTCTTTAATGAAATATTACAAGTGAAAAATACCCCAAAACTTGCCATATGTTAATCTTAATGTATCTTTTAAAGAAAGCACCTTGCTATACTTTTCCCACTCATTTCAAAACGTTTCATTAAGACCCATCTACCTTTTGTAAAGTCTGTAGTAACTGTGCTGACAGAACCCTAACCTGTTGTCCACTTCCCAAACCTAGGAGGGTGTTTTCTCTCAGATTGCTCCTTCACACAGCATCGCATCTTTTCCCCCGAAAGTTGCCCAAGGTAGCAACTCTAAAAAGTAGCCTTTCTAATTAATTGGTCCTGATTACAATTATTATTGGTGGTTTTAATTATGGCAGTCTTCTATTGCTACTTGTATCGAAGCTTTGTTAAAAAATAAAGTTGGAAAATGTATTTTTGTTTTGTCATTATTTGTTCAAAGGAGCATTTTACACACCAGCAGGACAAGTCAGAACCAGCATGTGTAGCAGCCATATGACCATAATGGCTGGGAAATATTGTGTGGTGAATGAAACCTGAGCTTCCACTGCAGAAAGCATGGACGCCATACCTACACAGACTGGCCTATTGGGTTTACCAGGAAAACTGGCCACAGTCTCATGCTGCCAAACACTTGCATCACCTTTTATTGCAGTCTGTTTTTTTAACACTGACTTCACCAATTTTACAACTATGACATGGCAATCTGTAAATCATTGAGTCTGCACCAGACAATCCAGTGATTGACATCATGCACATCTCTTTAAGCAATTTTGATACAATGCCATGCATCAAGCAAGTCAAGTGAGCCTGACCATTCAACCCATTCAGTCGCTTCCTATGATAGGGATGGGTTGCTGAAGAACAATTTTAACCTGGATCTTCACTAAGGTCCTAATCATGCATCAAAGATAACTCAACCAAAGCAAACATTTTAAGATGCCATGGTATTGGAAGGATGGAGGTTATCCCTACATGTCCAAATACCACCTGAAGGAGTTGACTTTGTGGAGTTCTTCAACAATCCCAGTCTTATAATGTGACTGAGAATGAGAGTAGATGGTTCCACACACGACGGTCAGAAAGACATTTACTACAAACCAGTGTTGGGAATAGTTTAAAATCTCATAATTGATGATTGCTTCATTACAAACCGATGAATCATCGAAAGTAATTGGTTGGCGTCATTTATCAAATTTTCCTGGTTATGTTTCTTAATGCACAAAAAAAAAAAAAAATCATGTCGTTCTTTCAGGTGTTTTTTTTAGCAAATTGCACATCTTTACAGGATGACTGGTATGTTGGGAACATATATTTCCTGGACTCTTTAACATAAATTCAATCATGACTTGGAAAGATAATTCAATCATGATTTGGAACGAGCTAGTAGTGCGCATGAAATGTAACAGACAAAACCAACCGTGTGAAAGAAATATTGTTAATGCAAACAAGTGTTCCAAAATTGTTTGTGTTCGATTATGAGAAAACATGATCGATTGCTTAGTCGTTTAGTCATTGCGACCAATATTCGATTATTTCAATTAATCAGACCACCACTACTACAAACCTATGTACAAGTTATGTAAGGATAACTGTTAGCAGTCATTTAACAATGCATATGCAGGGTTTTACCTTGACTCACAAACATGGGGGTCCCGGAACTAATAGTTTTAGGGGTCCTTGCAGGCAATACGAGGGTCATGTGAAGTAATGGGGTAGACAACTCTACATTTTGATAATTTCTTTAGAGGCTGGAATGAATAATTGATCATATGGATCGGTGGATGAAATGATGCACGTAACGTCATAGATATGTTGTCGGTACAATGAATAACATTGTGTGTCCCTCTGACACAATGAATTATTTTCTGTGTCTGTTCTCTACATTTCTGCGTATTGGATAAAACCCTGTATATATTACCTAAATGGCATGATCTAATATGAGAGTTTATGTGTGAGGTTATACTGGTATATGTACACAGGATCTAAATTCATTGAGGGGCAGAAGGCTTAATGACTTGTACTTAATTTGTTGTAGATCCTGCTGATCATGAAATATGTCTCTTCTGCATGGAACATACTAAGTATCCAACACTAGTTAATGCTAATGAAATGTTGAAAGTATTGTGACAAAAATTTCACAGCAGTCTGTGAAAATTCATGCTCTGGACAGACCAAACCAGTGACTGGCATACTGTGGTGAGAAAAGATATAATACATGAGTCAGGACAAACCAAATTGTGACTTTGACAAAACCCATCAAAATAGATAACGAAATCAGAGATTGATGAGGTGGAGTTTGTCTTTGAAATATTTAATTAAATGTAATTTCAAACAAAATAATAACAAAATTAAGTGCATGTTTGAAGCATGAAAAGTCCACGTCCCAAACCTAAGCAAAGACATGACCCTCAGCCCTATGTGATGAAAATACTACAACTACATTGCAAAGTTAACTCACTGACATGTGAAGTAATGAAACGAGGGTGATTTGAAGCTCTTATTCTAAAGCTTGACTGGCAACTTATCTACTAGTCCAGTGCCTACGTGATGCCCATTGGTTAACAGTGACGTTTCTGCTGATTCCCAGATTCAACAACGAAGCATATGACCCTAAACCTTTCAGCTGTGATGAATGCTGGACATGTTCAGAATAATTACAGATCCATTGTCAGTGTGTTACATATGAAGGCTTATCTCTGACTATATTTAAGCCATGGTAGTAGGAAAAATGTTTGTTACCATTAACTGCTCTAATAGTAAAGGACTTGGGAAATAACACAATAGCTGTTAGAGTGACTTTTCGTTGTATTATTGATGCGATGTTGCCAAAAATGACGGAATGATACCTTGCTTTCTGGCTTAAAAATAACTAGGATAATAGTTTGTCATGGCATATTTTCTCACTACCTTCCATCATTGCTGCTTATTTTTCAGTGGATGACTGGAAAAATATTGCTACTTAAAACAATCACTACAGTATGTGCTTCTTTCAGAAATGCCTGTATTTGGATGAGGGTTCGACAGGAAACTGCTTTAGCTTGATCTGATCTCTACAGGTCACTTGTGGTGGCAGTTAAATTTGAACCAGCACAGCAGCTACAGGGTGGAGCATCACTCATAGCATTTCAAATGGACAGTTACCAGCAACCATGGACAGCAACCATGTGAACTCGCCATGAAGGTTCTTTAGTTCCTGAGAGTTTAATGATGCTTATGTTGACCTAAACACCTTAGTGACCTAGGTCCTAAAGTCACTGGGGTTAGTTAACAAATTCACATGGATATTGGTATCAAGCCTGATACTTTCAAAGTAGATAGGATGTAACATAAGCAGGTATTACACATTCCTAACAAGAAGCAAAATACTATGTAAACCTCACAGTTCAGCTTTATTACATATAAATATATGCATACTTACTAGTAACCAACTAGTTTGCAATTAGGCATCCTCAGAGACATTCTATGGGTTGAAAAGGTACACCTTGATATTACAGGCACACATATATATACATAATATTGTAATAATAAATTCAACTTCGTCATTTCACAAATATCACAATAATTTCATTATCACAGGATGATGTAAACGTGATGGTGTAAACATGACCTGCATCAATGTTTGTACTGAAAATTAAGAGAATTCTGAAAAGAAACACACTTGTGTTCCAGTGTTTGATGTCTTTAAGGGGTGTGGCTTTTGTTTTCTTGTACAACCTCCACAATGACGGTGGCAAAGTCCACAATTTCATCTTTCACAATTTTCGTAATGAGAGACAGATTCTCTAAAATCTGAAAAATTGAACAGAAGGTCCAACACTGAACATATATAATATTTTCATGAAGTAATTTTAACTACATGCTATGACAAAATCTTTATCCATGTCTAGAAATACAAACTGACATTGTCACTGAAAATGTTAAGTCACCGTCTATGAAGCATTTGATTTTTACCCATTCATTAGCTTATGGTTGGGTAAAGATCATTTATAATGAGGTCATTGCCTAAACATTGTTCAAAAGAACTGTAACTAAAAACATTCCATTTCTACACTCTGAAAGTTTTGCAAAAAAAAATATGACATGTCCTTTTCAGAGTTCTGATAGCATCACATGTTTAATGTGTTCATATTTTCAGCCGGGAATTTCATGGGACGTACTTTAGGGGCACTTGTCCTCATTAATACTATTTACCCAGGATACGGAGTGTTTACTGTAGGTAAGTACTATACTTTGGTAGGTATCATGCTTTTGATAGACCTTAGTATAAAGACATTGCCATTTCAATGTACAGCAAGAGCTAAATAAACATGTGTGCCACTACAACAATAGCGGCAGCACAAAATAGATGTATCTTAAAAGTTGTTTCATTACATCTATGAAACAGTTGGGTCTGGCATGGTATCAGTGTCATCTGTTCCAGTGCAGTGGGAACAAGGACAACAAGGACAAGTCAGGGATGGTTTGATCCCTGGTACTCACCGTGTCCGTGGTTGACATGTCCATGATGAACGCAGAGGCTGTGATCACTGCCGTCCCCAGCAGCAACATGTCACTCACCATCTCACATACTCTGGGGGACACAAAAATGTTTATGCATGATCCTGTTATAAATATTCTAACCCAAACATGTGCAAACGGTTTTAAATTAAAGCAGAATTCAAAGAGATATTTGTTTCAAGAGACATTTTATAAATCACTCTGGTGTCAAGAATGAAAACATACTATACTATTGTGTTTTAGGGTAATAGCTATATACAACATATATAACGTGTGTCCATTTCACGCATTTTTGTTTGGGGCTATCATAAGCAGTTCATTATATCCATCAGTTCATTGTAAGTGTGTTATTTTTAAACATAGTTTACTGTACATTACTATGTGTTTTATTCATATGTGGAAGGATTATTTTCTTTATTATGCTCTAAACAGGGCAACTACAAAAGCCTGTAATGTTAACACATTACCTCAAGTCTGACTGAAGCAAATCCTGTGACAGATATTGATTTGTCCCCTGATTCTAGAATGGATAAATACCATTAATTTGGGATGTACCATCCAACTATCTTGAGCTCGATTATCTTCAACTTATTGATCCTACTAGTGGATCCTCACTCTGACTTGCATGACTAAGATAAAGAAGTTTCCTATTTCTGCTGTTTTACATGGAAAAGTACAGTGAAGAACTGTGAAACATAGAGCCACAAGCCTCTGTAGCTCACCTGACTGAATATTGGCATTACAATCTTCAAAATCAGATCAGGATATTTTACCACCATAACTAGTGTCATGAATGCTGTGTGACAACTTATCATTGAGGCTGTATGTCTCCTTACACAGTGTGTGTGTGTGTGTGTGTGTCAAAACGTATTTTCAGTTTAAAATCATAAAATTTCATTGCACCTTGCAAGTTGTTCTCATATCTAATTATGAAAATAATCAATGAGATATTTCATTATAAATCCCTGCTAGTCCTTGTAATAAGCAATGACTTTTGAGGGTCTAATCTAATCTTACCTGTTTTGTAGCTGTGTTGTCTCTGCAGAGCAAGCAGTTTTGTACAGCTTGTCATAGATTTCTGTCCTCTTTAAGTTGAACAGATACAGAAGTTTGATGGCAGTTGAATGATACAACTTTACATCAGTTGTTTTGTCATTGTGCCCTGAAAGGGAAACACTCATAAACAATAAGTGTCAAGTACTGCAGTGACAGAACTACCAGGACAACACACACATAGCTAAATCCTGATAAGCTGCACGTTTCTACTACTCCTTTTATTACCTATTTGAAGTTTGTCAAGGACTAGAGAACTAGCGCCAATTTCTACACCTAATAATGACAATAATATGAACCTACTAAAAATGAGATAATAATAATTAAAGAACAAGAAAGAAAACTTGAATACTACCCTAATTTTTCATTTATACTAAATCTTGGGATGTTTAGCTTTAACTGATATAAATATTCAAAGTATGTATGTTCAAACTGTGCTGGTTTTACTGTGATCTGTCCTGGTCAATGGGGGTGTCACTAGGATCTGCCCAGGTGAATGTAGTGTCACTGTGAGCTGTCCTGGTGAATGGGGTGTCACTAGGATCTGCCCAGGTGAATGTAGTGTCACTGTGAGCTGTCCTGGGCAATGAAGAGTCACTGGGATATGTCCTGGTGAATGGAGAGTAAATGGGATCAGTCCTGGGCAATGAAGAGTCACTGTGAGCTGTCCTGGGCAATGAAGAGTCACTGGGATATGTCCTGGTGAATGGAGAGTCACTGGGATCAGTCCTGGGCAATGAAGAGTCACTGTGAGCTGTCCTGGGCAATGAAGAGTCACTGGGATATGTCCTGGTGAATGGAGAGTCACTGGGATCTGTCCTGGTGAATGGAGAGTCACTGGGATCTGTACTGGTCAATGGAGAGTCACTGGGATCTGTCCTGGTCAATGGGGTGTCACTTGGGTCTGTCCTGGTGAATGGAGCGTCACTTGGGTCTGTCCTGGTGAATGTGGTGTCACATGGATCTGTCCTGGTGAATGTAGTGTCACACGGATCTGTCCTGGTGAATGTGGTGTCACATGGATCTGTCCTGGTGAATGGAGCGTCACTGGGATATTTCCTGTTGAATGTGGTGTCGCATTGATCTGTCCTGGTGAATGGAGAGTAACACGGATCTGGTCTGGTCAATGGAGTGTCACTTGGGTCTGTCCTGGTCAATGGAGCGTTACACGGATCTGTCCTGGTGAATGGAGAGTCATTGGGATCTGTACTGGTCAATGGAGAGTCACTGGGATCTGTCCTGGTCAATGGGGTGTCACTTGGGTCTGTCCTGGTGAATGGAGCGTCACTTGGGTCTGTCCTGGTGAATGTGGTGTCACATGGATCTGTCCTGGTGAATGTAGTGTCACACGGATCTGTCCTGGTGAATGTGGTGTCACATGGATCTGTCCTGGTGAATGGAGCGTCACTGGGATCAGTCCTGTTGAATGTGGTGTCGCATGGATCTGTCCTGGTCAATGGAGTGTCACCGGATCTGGTCTGGTCAATGGAGTGTCACTTGGGTCTGTCCTGGTCAATGGAGCGTTACACAGATCTGTCCTGGTGAATGGAGAGTCACTGGGATCTGTCCTTGTCAATGGAGCGTCACTTTGGTCTGTCCTGGCCAATGGAGAGTCTTTGGTGAATGTAGTGTGGAGTGTCACTGGGATCTGTCCTGGTGAATGGAGCGTCACTTGGGTCTGTCCTGGTCAATGGAGAGTCACTGGGATCTGTCCTGGTGAATGGGGTGTCACTTGGATCTGTCCTGGCCAATGGAGAGTCACTGGGATCTGTCCTGGTGAATGTAGTGTCACACAGCTCTGTCCTGGTGAATGGACAGTCACTGGTATCTGTATTGGTTAATGGGGTTTTACTGGGATCTGTCCTGGTTAATGTGCTTTTACTGGGATGCTATCCTGGTCAATGGGTTTCACTTCATCTGTGTATCAGGCACCTATTATTTCCAGGAGAGTCTCTACATACTGCAAAGGTGAAAGAACTGCAAGCTTGAATTCGAGAGTTTTCAGAATGCGTAGTTCTGACTGGAGAATACTGCCTGCAGTGTAGTTATGACCAAGCTCACACAGGAATCTACGTGCTCTGTTGACTGATATTATCTGAAATAAAAGGGATGTAGTTTAATACCTGATGTAATCAAAACATAAGCTTTTACTTAACAGAAACAGCAGAAAAGAACAATCTGTTTACCTTGTGGAAGCAGGTTTAATACACAGGCTACATTACATTGGCAAGACTGAGTTGCATGTCTTTAGGACAAAACAGTGTGTTTTTTGACTGATTTGCAAACCTTGGACCACACAAAAACTTCACTGACCCCCTTGAGTCTGGTGTTACATAACCACTAGTCAATATATAATTAATAACTGTATTTGAGCCAAAGAAAGTTTCTTCAAAATCTTAAAAAGACTTTTGTTCTCATTTCTTCCAAGGTTAATGTACTTTCACAGGTAAGTACGCTATTATTTCTTGTGTCGACTGAATACAGGTAATCTGTATCTGTGTGTATCCGAAGCAATCAAAGCTTGACAAGCACCAGATTAGTTCATATCACCTCAAATACCATAAATCATATATTGTCAAAAAATACAGACAATTATAAATTTTTAATCAGAAGTCCAGAAGCTAATTCAAGTAATTCTTGCACTTTTTAAAATGAAAATGAGAACTTCAAAGCGGTAAACATCTTTTTACAAAGTAAATTGCAGCTATCAATCATTTTAAACAAATTAGAGTTTCTAAATGAAGTAATAAAGAGATGTTATTATATTTAAGTATTACACCAAGTAATGGTTCTACAAGCATTATTCATAATGCTGCTGCTCAGAAAATTACTGAAAACCAATTCAAATTAGTAGTAACATGACAATATATTACACAGCCTTTTAATCTTTTTAATTTTAGTCTATGATTATCGACTGCATCGCTTACTCTAACTCAAAAGATGCCAATAACAGTGTTCTGATACAGGATCACTCAAGTTGAACTGTGAACAATAATTTCAGAAGAAACCATGAGTGTCTGGTTGGTGCAACTTGGCACCTGTTTTAACAAATTATTATTCTGTGAATTGGTCATGGTTTTTAAATGATCTGTTGTGAATGGGTATCCAGTAGTATGAGATGGTTTTGTGTCTGGTAACCTTCATGTAGCTTATGGCCACCATGGGTTGTAAGCTCTCTACTGAACAGAACAGAAAACCAAGTGCACATTGATCCATAAAACAGGGTAACGGCAGCTTATGAAATAAGCCAAAAAGCCAACCAGACATCCGGGCTGGTAACTTCAAAATGTTAACAGCCCAAAATGGATTTAACCAGACCAGACAATCTAAAGAAAATAACTTAATTTTTCGTTACAACGAAAAATTTAATGAACCCAAGACATGTAATTACTCTGCGCATCGACAGGTGTCTCTTCTTTAGTGATTATATAAGTCAACGCAGTGCTTTGAGCTTGCGATACGACTGTTCAATGTTCAAACAGCAATTGGCAAGTCTAAACGTAACGCTCAATTTGAAAAATAGTTTTTGAGATATTGTGAATTTACTCAGATGTATGGAACATATCATCTAAAATTTTTACCAGACCATCGGGTTGGCTAAATGTAAATTTAGACCATCCGTCAGAAATGTAGCCCGTCTCGTGCGGTCAGACAGGCCTTATTTCATTCACTGGTAATGGTGTTATCAGTGGATGGCAGATTGTGCATTTCAAATTACTTATTAATATTAAGGCATCAACAAAAATATTTCATTCTTTTAACCACACAAAACACAATACCCTGTGGTGTGATGTGAGTTTGCTTGCAATCTGACAACAAGAGGTAATCCTCAGAGCCTGCTGCTTGATGATCCTCTGTAAGATCTTGTCCCAGTCCGACCTCTTGGTCTGGCTGTCTGAGGTTAGGACATGATTATACAGCTCCTCAATGTGTCTCGTCATGAATCTGGTCACACAAACATTTAACAACATGGAGTTCTCCAGGTGTCACCTGCAGGAATTCTGCAAGTTTGACTTTGAACAGACTATGGTAGAGCTTGACTTACACACATAGTCAAGTTTAAAAGCTTTACATTCAAACTTTAGAATATTTCAAGGAGCTCCAAGTGATTCTCATTTCCTGTATGAAATAGAAACAAGGCTGCTGTAACTAATCTAACACAAACATAGAAGATTTTTATCAATAGACATTTTAAGGTATTTGAACTTAGATGCTTTTTGTTTTTATTCCCTAAAAACTACACAAACACACATGCATGCACAGTCACCAAAAATATATATGACCTGTCACTAAAGGAGGACTGGAATGAATTAATTATCTGTGTGTGATATGCCGAATAGTGGTAACTGTTGCGTATAAGAACATTCAGATCCTGTGCTTTCTGGAGATAAGAGCATGAACTATTTTTCTACATTATTTTGAACTAGAAAGTTTTTTTACTCGTAAAAACAGATGTCTCCCCCTTCCCCCAATTTCAGCATTGAGACCTCAAACAATTGAGTTGATTCCTTCAATTTCAAAATCTCTACCTTCAAAAAGACTAAGTCCAAACTTGTTGCCATTGAAACAGAAAAAAATAAAATTGAAAGAAAAGTTCAAACTCCCAAAATATGATACATGATATGGAGAGGCAGTATAGCAAATTTGGTGAAGATGGGCCAATTAGTTTCAGAATTTTGCTCCGGAAACGAACTTTATCCTTCAAAATGAAAAAGTTCAAATTGTTTCCATGAAAACAGAAAAAAATAAAATTAAAAAAAAACAACCTCAAACCCCCAAAAGGCACATCTACATGATATGGAGGGTAGTATAGCAAATTTGGTGAAGATGGGTCAATTAGTTTCAGAACTTTACCCTTCACAAAGGCAAAGTCCAAATTATTGACATGAAAACAGAAAAAAATAAAATTGAAAAAACCCTCAAATCCCCATTAGGCACATTTACATGATATAGAGAGGCAGTATACCAAATTTGGTGAAGATTGTCCAAGTAGTTTTAGAGTTATGTTCCGGAAACAATGGGAATGCCCACGCCGACGGAAACTCAACCAAAACCAATCTGTCTCCCAACCCTTCGGGGGAGAAATAAATACAGCCAGGACAAAGCAAGTGAAAGTTTACAGGATGTGTTATGCTCTCTCAGAAAGGTAATAACTGTGGACACATATATACTTAGATTCAGTGCCATAATTGCAAACCTCAAAGGTATTTCAAAATTAGCACAGTATGGTTGTAGTATAGTATAACTGACACCGTTCACCTGTCTAGTGTTTGCCTTATTTTACTTTAATAACAAATAAACATTGGTATGAAGATGAATCTCTTTCCAAACACATACAGCACTTGAGAAATTATTCTAAATAGTATGAATAATTTATTTTAGAAATAGTATAAGCTTCTAAACTGAGAATTATTTCTTTGATACTTCAGAATTCTCTGTTCCCTTTTATTTGCAAAACAGGACTTCACACCTTTGATTATTTGTTTTGCTGTAAGAACTCACCTGTTGAATATTTCCACTGCTAAAAGCTTTACTTGAGCTGACATTTTCAACCTGTCACATGTCTTGTAGATCAAATCAACATGTTTGAAACTCTTAAAGCAATCCTGCAACAAACATCAGCATGCTTGACTTATAAATAAATGGGTAGAAATCATAATATTTCCACTTGAGTTATCCTTCTTGTCATATAATGTAGGGGAACAAGTCAAACTCTCAGCATTATCACAATAAAAAGAATCACAATTATTACAATTAGTAATTTACGGAGATAGCTGCTTGTGTGTTAATACTTCCAAAAACGAACTAAGCCATTCTGGCAATGAGAAATGTACTCAGAGAAACAAATAAAGGATCAGAGGAACATTCAAGCGTTCCTTTAATATTTTCCACTTTTCATCAGCAGCTTTGAATAGCGCTGTGGTGATGAAAACTGGAAAATAATAAAGGAAAGCTTGCATTTTCCTGTGATCCTTTATTTGTTTCTTTCAGTATATTATTTAAAGTAATGAAAACATTTGTAATGTATGCTTTTTAAAGAAATGTCAATCTTGTCAGCAATAAACATCACTGAGTTTTGATCATATGGTGAGAATCAGGGTAATGATCTGAGAGTGAGGGTGTTTACTGTGATCATGTAATAATAGTTTGAATAGTGCATATTTATAATATGCACATATCCATGCTCATAAGCATGCTCTTGGAGCTACATTATAATACATACATACATAATATATATTAAGGCTGTAACGATTCACTCTCATATTCGGTGAATCGAACCGTAGCCCTTCATGAATTCAATTCGTTATTTGTGGTCACCAGAACCGAATATTAACGAATATTTACGATTTTTTATAAGGGAGCATGTTTTACTTGAACCCTTGTGTACTTTTGGAAAGTGAGATTTCCAAGGATTGAATATGTAAAAGCCTTGCAGTAGCGCACATCATGTTAGCTTTCCAAGGCCGCACATGGTACTGTCAACTATAACTATTACATACCAAATTTGAATGTCATGAGATCACTGGTTATTGCTGTGACAAATCAAAACTGTCAACATGGGCGTTCCATATTGTGCATCAATCACTTAACTACAATATTGTATTCGTGAATAATTATTCGTATTCGTAACCCAATATTCATGATACGTAATAATTAAGAAAGGCTATTGATGATGATATTGAACAAAGAGGCAAGTTTTGAGATTTGACTTAAACAAGTCCAGAGATTCAGAGTGTTTCAGGTCAATGGGGAGAGAGTTCGGTACAGAGCAAAGCCCTTCCATAATATACTACAGAGTAGATTTGTATTTCACAAATACCTTTGTGCTGCCCTTGAGTCTGTCTGAGTTAATGGCACTAAGATCAAGAAGCCATTGTCCCAGGAGTTCTGGTGTGACACCACTTTCCTTGTGGTTGAAGAAGGGCTCCTGGGGGGTTCCAAATATTCCAAGATCATTCTGAAACAGTTCTTATATTTTCTATTATTTCAGTTCCATATGAAATGGGAAAACATTCTTAACTTCACAGAATGTCCTATGCTACCACTAAACATGCACATGAAGATCCAGGTCAGAATTGGTCTTCAGAAATCCATGATTGTTGTAGGAGGCAACTAACTGGATGGGGCGGCCAGACTCACCGACTTGGTGGATGCATATCATCGTATCCCATTTGCATAGATCAATGCTCAGGATGTCAATCACTGGATTGTTTGGTCCGGATTTGATAGTTTACAAATTGCCATCATATAGTTATAAAATTGCAAGTAACATATTACAGGTATACTGCATACAAGTAATACTATTATGCAGTATTCCGGGTGGCATGACATACAATGATATGCTAGTATTGCATATATGTTAGCCTAACTGTTTCTAGCAGAGAGATTTATTTCTTCAGGGCTGTATACCACATCATTGATAGGAAATGTCCTAGGGTGCAACCCTTAGATCAGGTATGACATTTGCTTTTGTATACAGAGCAGGATTAACTCCAGATAATGTGTAATATGTCTTATTTATAATGACTGTTCAAATATTCATGAGTTTAATATCCAAATTGATAAATAATAAATCCAACAGTTTATCAGTATTATTACCAATCTGTGCTTTCATATTACTATATATAGAGATCATGTTGAATATTTGAAAGAAGTCTTTGTGCAAAGAAGTACATTGTAAATAAAAACATTACTCATGCCCAAGTACAGAATGACTTGTACGGATCTTCACATTCATGCTCTATTTAATAAATCCCATATTCTACCACAAGTATGTATTTGCTTGTCTTTGATAAGACTAAAGTAAATCTGTAACACTGTTAAACTAGAAGAAATAGCAACAGAATTATTAATATTTCAATAAAACATGTCAATCCATTTCTGTTGGAACAATTAAACAAGGGATGGATTAATACTTTACCTGAACAATAACAATACAATACAATACAACAGCCTTCAGCTGATGGTTAAAATAAAAACATCATTTACATTTTTCATTAGAAACTTTCTATTTTTGTCCTTATTTGGCATGTTTGACCTCACTTAACATGAAAACAACAATTAAAGGACTTATCAGCATCAAACATAATTACAATAACTGACAAGTTTCTAATACTGGTTTTGGACTTGTGGACTAATATCTGCAATGGGAATGGCTACATACTCCTGGGCAAATTAAAAATGTAAATACTAAGGCATCTGTTGGAGAAATATACACTGTATTGACACTTCTCATCCTCATCAGGACCTTCACTACCTGTGGTTTGCATGCCATGTTTTTGTACGGGCTTCATCCAAATGGCATTTCAAGGTGATAATTTTCCAAATGTTCTGTAACAGAAAACTTGATAAATAAATCAGTCTGAGATAAAACATTTCTTTTCAAAGAATACCAGTATCAGAAATAAAGTATCATTTGTGTCCTTGAGGTTCTTCTGAACATTAATTTTGACATGTAGATCTATAAAATTCAGCAAAGATAACTGCACAGTCTTTGAGTGATGATGGGATCCACATGTAACCTATATTATACAAGTCCTGGACTCTTAAAACAATTATTTGCTCAAAGAATATGTGACCATATCTTCTATGCAATCTTTATTATTATATTAAGAAATACACAGACTTTCTAAATAAACTTTTCTCTCTACTGCAGTACAGGTAAGTTAAGCAGTTAGACTGATTTGGCTGAAAGTCAAATAAAATACTGCAAGACTAGACTGGAAAAGTCGATTAAAAAAATAATTTAATCTTAAGTTTAATCTCTATTTATATATTCTTAGTAAGAAAGTGTAGATGTATTTTGCACATTCTCCATAAAACAAAAGATGAGCTGCTTCACCAGCTGTTTGCAAGGCCCTCTGAACTTGTGTAATTTCGCAACTGTAAAACAGAAATATAGATAGTTAGCATGTTCAGAGTATTCAGGACAAAAGTGTTTATCATGCGTAATAATATCTAACAATGAATACGATTACTAGTTAGATATAAATACATATATCGTCACAGACCTACACCGCAACTGTCAAAAGCAGACGACAAGCACCTGTCTCAGTGGCGGGTCATTATTTGTAACTGAAGACTGCCTTAAGATTAATATAAGAATTCTTAAAATCTCATGTTACATTAAATGTGGCTATAAAATAACTAATGTCCCTTTTAAACCACTTTACCTCATTGTGAGGAACACATAAACTGATTTTAAAACAAATTATTTTGCTTACACGGGCTGCTCCCTAAAACCGGATGCGGAAATTGCCTGGACATGCGCATTGCCATTTACTATTATTTTTCATTTTTCGTTGAGGAGATCACTTTGATGCTAGAAGATTGTGTATCTGAGATTCTTTAATGACCACTATACATCTAGAAATCGTTACAAAGGTATTTCTGTTTCGAATGCATTCATAATAGCAGAACAGCACCGATCTCTCATGTACAGTGAACGGGAAACATGGAACCCGTACAGGTAAGTAATGACATATGATTTCCACCACATTATGGCACATGTAAAACGCTAGGTGTCATTTTGTACCAGTAATCATGGTAATCCAGTACTATATACTTAAAATCCCAATCAAGGTCCTCACCGAATTGAAGAAAACGACTTTATAGGTACACTGTCACTCTTGTCCTTTCAACTCGATATAGGCAGATGAAGTAAGAAATAATATTTTCACTGTTGTAAAATGTTGATGATTTCAGTAAGTAAAAACCAAAGTCAGTGGTCCCAAAAATAACTTGTATTTGAATTTTTGAACTTAAAACGTGTATATTTGTGTTCATGATAGGTGTGGTGAGACATGGACAGTGATTGTTCTCGTTGGCCTTTTCAGGTCAGTGACCCCAACACTGTACAAATGACTTACAGTGTAAACTGTAAAATATAATTTGGTCCAATGTTCACAAGTCAGACCTGTCCTTATGAGAGTCCATATAAGAGAGAAGACAAACGTGTTTTCTTGTTCTAATGTTCGTAAACAAATATGACTGTTTAATTTGGAAATTATATATCCTTCTATTCAATGTATTCAAACAATTAAGACAATATTTTGATTTTGAAGGATGAATGAATAAACCATAAAAATTTGTATTCATATCAGCAGGTGGTGTCCTCAACAATATAATTGAGCTATATCCTAATAGGAAAAGCCTTAAGTATTCATGATAATACATGTGACTCAGCAGGATTTTTATCAATTAGCATGTGTGTAATAAACAAAATGTTGCACAGTCCTTTACAATTTTTGTAGGTTAGCATTAAAACAATAAAGTAACTTAAAGTTTGAACTGGTTAAAACTTCTTATAATGTGAATGTTTGTAGGATTAAAACATTTCAATCAGTTTTGCAGGAAAAGAACTATTATTTTGCTTTGCTTCACATGATCTCATTGTTGACAGGCTGAATTTGACAGCTCAGATGTAAAAATTACAGGTGATGGATTTTGTGTAAAAAGGAAAGATATTTAGTTTTTATGAGCATCTGATTTCTGAATAGGTTTTAGCTTAGGATCTACTGTAAATTATGCACTTGCTCATCTAGTGGCAGCTGATGATGTCATACATCATAAGGAATCCGATTTAACAACATACTGCAGTCTGGGTCAATAAGCATAATGTGTTTTGAATCTACTATTGGAGAGGGGTCTGTGGTATTCAATAGGATGCATACAGAGCTGTATCAAGATATGTGATAATGCACTATATTTATTCTTACTTACTAAACAAAAAGAATACTTATTTAATTATGGTATGAAAGGCTACCCTCATTGAACAAATTAGCTGTTTGGATCATATTGGCTTTCTTGTTACCATGGTTACTTTTGGTGATGCACCAACTTACAAAGAGGGAAACAGTCTGTCACCATTTTTCTCTCCTCTGAAAAACTCTTGTTTTTAAGAAATACAGTTCGCTCTACCACCATGTATAGTGTAATAAAACACACTTTCTCCCTGAACTATTATAGTTAAAGTACGAGGACGCTTGCGTCCGAGTGCTTTAACGTTATAATAGTTCAGGGCAAAAGTGTGCTTTATTACACTATTCATGGTGGTAAGCTTAACTGTATTTCTTTCTAAGATGCCAAATTTAATACTTTCTAAGGATAATTACGATTAATTTAAGGCAGAAAACAAGCGATGGTGTCGGTGACCTAAATTAAGAATCCTCGCACAGGGCTAACTGGCGCGCTGTTCTATTGATGTGCCTGCCCCCCTACGTTAAGACGAACGTTACCAGAAAAAAACAAATGATAACAGTTTGATGACTGTTTACGTTTGGATTAAATATCTTCTCTGAATTATTTTAATTACATCTGTCATTAGCGTAAACCATATGGGGCAATATGAACGTCGCATTTCTACTACCAACGGAAGTTTAGATCAGTACATCCAGATGAAGCTGAGTAGTCAAGCGACATTCAACGATTGCATTGTAGGAATGTAAACATTGCGAACGTTACCATGTCGCTGAAAACTTGAGAGTCGAATTGACACATTTTAACCGTCATAAAACATAAACGTAATGTTTCCACCAGTGATGTTAGCTGCGTGAAGCAACTGCAACCCAAGAAACAGGATGCAACGGAGTAGTTTACTGTAGGAGGCCGTACGAGGCGATGACAACTGACAGGCATCGTGACGTCACTTACATTGTGACGTAATGTAAAATGGTTTTGATTACGAGGGGCCACACTAGAATGGTGCAGTGACGGGATATTGTCATTCAATTGTTACGTCATCAAAAAACTACACCTTTATTGTCTGATAATGTAAATTTTTCCTTATCCTGACTCATGCTCTTTTGCTTGTCTTCTTCTTCTTGCGAACATAGTGGAACACTTGTATCTCCTTATTTGAAGCTCCCTTCAAAATAAAATCACTAATTGGTACTCACCACGAGTTGCTCCCCTTTGTCTCCCCTGGCGGGAAAAGGTGTCGCCACCCTCTGGCCATGTGCTGCACTCTCTCCTTCGCCCAGTGAGCAGGATGTGAGAGCGCCTTGTGTCTCCTTACACACATATCCTTTGATAATCTCTTAGTTTTTACCTCTCATAGGTTACTATAGAGGTATAGCTAGTATCCTTTACTATTTGTATTGATTAATTATCGTATTTCTACTGTTTATTCACGTGTATTCGTGATTGTTCAGCTAGCTTTACGTTCATGAAAATCTGTACGATTTGTAGATTACGTTTTTCTGCCTCCGATCCACATGTAATATGCCCTAGTTGTTCTACGCCGTGTGCGTTTAATTCACGTTGCAGTTACTGCATTAATTTATCTCATTCTGCATTTAATAAATATCATCTTTGCGTCTTAAGGCGTGCTGCAGATAGATCCGCGCCAAACAAGGGCAAAACATGGCAGAGAGTCAGATATTCCTTCCAGTCAGCTGCTAGCGATCGACCCTCTCCCGTCTGGTGTTCTGCTAGAGACCCCTGCGGCAGAGGAGACGTGGGGCGAGTCCGTTACCTCGAGAAAAGCGACCGGCCTCCCCAGACATCCCGTCATTGCAGACTAAGTCTAAGAGGGCCTCATCGTCGTCTCAACGCAGATTGAGGACACCCAGGGCAGCGCAGACTTCCAAAGGGAAATCTACGAAGACAGCAAGAACTTTCTCAGCCGAGATCGTTCCAGCAGCAGAGTTGGGCCTCTACGATGATCAGCCGATAATCATCCCCGACTTACGGCAGAAGAAGCGACCGGTGTCAGCGACTGTGACTTCTGCAGAGATCTCCATGCAGCCTGATGCCTCTACACCTCTACTATGAACATCATGGAGGACCACTACAAACTGCGCAAGCATGATAGCAGAAGTCATGGAGGACCAACCAGCGAAGGCTCCAAGCGTGAACAGCACCCCAGAGGCACACCCCGTCAGCGTAGCAGCCAAGGCGATGTCACCTTCGCGAAGGAAGTCCGCACCACCTTGACGAAGGACCTAGATGTACAGCCTTCGCGAAGGCCTTCGCGAAGGCGGGAGAGATCATCACCATCTTCGATTTCATCTCTAGATATGGACTCAGACCATCAGACATCACGGAAGCCTTCGCGAAGGTCATATCATCGATCCCCCGGACCGGACGCAAATGAAGCTTCGCGAAGGCATTCGCGAAAGACATATGATTCAGATCTTCATCGTCTAGAAGAACATCGAGGGACTGCCGAAGAGCCCCGCGAAGCTATCAACATTCACCTCACAAGTCTCGAAGATCATCCCATAGGCGATCTCCACTCCGTTCATCACCAGGTCGATCACCCATCAGATCTCCACATAGAGCGGCGCACAAGTCAACTAGATCGCCACAAACCTCATCAGATATTCAGACAGCTACGCGCAGTCGAAGAGCATCTACAATTTATTAATGATGATGGTTTTGAGGATGATGGAGGAATCATATTTTCTGATGCAGAGATCACGGTATTGGATGGTCAATAACCTAGATCTCACATCACCATCTAAAAGTGGCAATACAGCTCAGGCGTATTTGATGAAGGAAGATGATCCAGATGCAATCACTCTACCCCGATCGACCCGATTGCGGCAGTACCACAGAATCTAGATGCAGCTTTCCAGAAAGCTACGAAAGTTCAGATACCACATCTACCCAACTTTCAAGCCAAGAAGTTCTCCACGCATAACATGGACTCCTTCTACAAGGCCCAGGACATCGATGAGAACTATAAGATCATCAGCGATGTAAAGAACAAGATTTACAAGATGGATGATGCATAAGTTGGCTCATATAGAAACCATGGCGAGGCGTATGTTCTTTGGGTTAAATAGATCTAGGGCCGATCAATGAGACTCTTATTACTAGATTCGGGATTCCACGGACGGAAGATGATAGAATGATTTATTCTGCCTTACTTATGCAAAGAAAGATCAGCAGTTTTAGCGGATCATCTTACATCTGTTTCAGCAGCACTGACCTTAGCTCGTCGTCAAGGCCTCCTCGCCTCCTGTAATTGGGGAGAACTTTACAGCCCACTTTATACAGCCCGTGGTCGACAACATCCATCTTTGACGGAGAAATCGACAAAGGTCGCCAAAGGAAGTCTCTAAGGATTCCAGGGAAGTCCTTATGATTAGATCGATGGACACACTAGCCAGCGTCATTCGTCAGACTTCACAAAGATACTCAGGCAGATCTAAGTTCACGGGCCTACAAAGAGCAAGAGACAGGAAGATAGCCAGCTCTAGAGGTAAAGATTCTTTTAAATTAAGCCCATATGGCAACTATAGAGGAGGATCAGGAAGAGGCAGGACACCCAGAGGTTCCCGCAATTATAGACGCTGAAACACAGGTTCGGAACGACTGGAGTCTTCCACCCCCAGCCGTTCCAGTACAACCAGCTCAAGTGGGTGGACGCCTCCAACTACACTGGGAAAACTGGGGAATACTGCAAGATCCTTACGTCTCCAACATTATTCAACACGGATTTCGTATCCCTCTACAGGACAAGCCTCCGCTGACAATCAAACCCCCCAAGTTCGATTTACAAGCGCAACAACTACCAAAGATAAAAGAGGCTGTCTCATCACTCCTATCCAAACAGGCCATAGAAGTAATAGATCAAGCAAACGTCGAACCAGGTTTCTACTCCCCAGTTTTCCTAGTTCCCAAGAAAAACTCCACGGAGAAATACAGACTCATCTACAACATGAGCTTTTTCAACAAGAACTATCTACGCCAAACCACGAAGTTCAAGCATGATACATTTACCTCAGTTACGCCAGATGATTTAGTCCTATGGACTACATGGGCAGCATAGATCTACAGGATGCCTACTTGCACATCCCCATTCATCCCGATTCCAGGAAATACCTACGATTTACTCTAGAAGGGCTACATTACCAGTGGAAAGTACTCCCATTCGGAATATCATCAGCCCCCTGGCTATTCACGAGGATAACGAAACCGATTATCAAATTTCTACATCGTCAAGGGCTACGCAGTGCGTTTTACCTCGACGACGGGATACAAGTAGATCAAGATCCACTGCGTCTCAAACTACAGTTAAATTACATCATAAAGCTACTAACACAACTAGGTTGGTTAGTAAACTTACGCAAGTCGGACCTAGTACCATCGCAAGTAAGACCTACAGTTCCTAGGTATTCGATTCATCACAAATCGCAACTGTATTATGGTACCAGAAGACCGTTGGCTCAAGATACAACAGACGAGCGCCGCTAATAGACCTATTCGCCACGCGATTCAACAATCAGCTACCGACATTCGTGTCACCAGTCCCAGACCCCCAAGCTTGGGCAACGGACGCTCTAAGTCTATCATGGGAAGGCCTCAGCAATAATACCTCAAGTATTACAGAAAATCAGACAAACACAGAGCCTACAACTCACTTGCAGTCGCCCTACTGGCCGGCCAGAGCGTGGTTTCCCATACTAATTCAAGAAATCGGTCAACCAACACTGGAGCTACCCAATGGCGCAAACCTGTTAATTCATCCTCACACCAAACAAGTGCACGGAAACCCAGCAATGTTCCAACTGCGTATGGACTGTATACAAATGTGTTTAAACAAGAGAGGATATTCTGCCAGGGCGGCAAAAGCAGTCACGCTTGCCTTACGTTACTCAACTCGTAACTTGTAATGCGGCGACAAGTGGCACAGTTTCGAAAATTATGCAACAAAGAAAGGGTTTACAGCAAGAGAGGCTTCACAACCTCAAGTGGCAGACTATTTGTGTTACCTACGCCAAAACAAACATTTAAAAGGTTCAAGCGATATCAACATATCTTGCGCTTAGCTCTGTAATCACCATGAGAGCGGGTGTCAAATTGACAAGATCTCCAGAGTTACTGGCCTTACTACGAGCTTTCGATTGGAGGACCAAAGCGGAAGTTCCACGCCCCAGCTTGGGATCTGAATGTAGTGTTACAACACCTCACGAGTGAGGTCTATGAACCCTTGGAATCGACAAACTTTGAATTTCTCTCACAGAAAACATTGTTTCTGCTATAAGCTAGCCACAGCAGCAAGAATGTCTGAAATTCAGCTCTGGATTACGAGAGGATACAGTTTGATGACAATCATAACACAGCGCACCTCGGATTAAGATGGGATTTCATTGCAAAGAATCAACTGCCAGGTCAACCAGACAGATTATTCCACATCCCGGCTATCCTCTATTCTCGGATCACAAGATACACAAGACCTATCACTGTGTCCGGTAAGAGCTCAAAGTTTATTTCTGACGATCCAAAACAAGGAGAAGATTTCTCAAGCGTTTATTCATCCCATTATAAGCCTCTGAATCAAACAGAAGTGTCACGGACCTACAATATCTATTTGGATAAGGACTGTCATTCTCCGTGCCTACAAGGCAGCAGGCTTGGACCCACCAACAGCATCAAATCCACATGAGATCAGGGCACTGGCCTCTACCCTCGCCCTACGGTAACTGTTCCTTGAACCACGATTATGGAAGGATGCTATTGGAAATCTAACATGGTATTTGCTAATCACTACCTAAGAGACATCACTACAGAAGATGTCTCTGGCATTCCACCATTCGGACCACTGGTCCTCGCTCAGCAACTGACAGTCCCTCGTAGGCGTTAAAATATTAGCCTCACAAGATTAATATGTATTTTATACATACTCATCTAGCTTATAACTCTAAGGAGTTTTAGGGCTATGTATATATGTTCAGCTTAAGTATTCTACCTTAAGCATATACTTGGATATAGTCAATTTCAGTGCCTCTATCAGAGTCACCTATATATATATATATATAATTTATATGTATTGTTCAATATATTCATAATGTAATTCCCCTTTAATGGCTTTATATAACCTATGGTTTCTTTATACAGGAAACATCCTAAATCTAAGACTTCATGAAGTTCCCGTAGGGGATATTACAGTATATCTATACAAAATCACTAATTATAAATCCAAAGTATTCTGTTACCCACCTCCGTTCCATTAGGATGCTACAAGCAAAAGAGCATGAGTCAGGATAAGGGAAAATATGTAATTTTAGAGTAAAATTGATATTTTATACTTATCCTGACTCATGAGGTTGCTCCCTCCCATCCTCCCCACATAACACTTTGGATTTCCCTGTAAATTCAAGTGTTGGGCTAAGCTAAATCAGGAGAGAGTGGAGCACATGGCCAGAGGGTGGCGACACCTTTTTCCCGCCAGGGGACAAAGGGAGCAACTTCGTGGTGAGTACCAATTAGTGATTTTATTTTGAAGGAGCTTCAAATAAGGAGATACAAGTGTTCCACTATGTTAGCAAGAAGAAGAGACAAGCAAAAGAGCATGAGTCAGGATAAGTATAAAATATCAATTTTACTCTAAAAATTACATTTTAACAGGCTATTAGAAATCACTGATTGAAATACTTGAAGAATCTTGGTCACATCAAGTTGGTACTGGAGATGTATCTTTTCTAGGAAATCCCATGATCTACATTTTAATAGGACGGGATTATCAGTATCATGCTCCTCACTATGATCATGATGATTAAATGACATTTGTCTGAAAATCAGATATTGGTAAAACGATGGAAAATAAAAAGTGTTGCCTTCATGTGCACCCTGATACTGCAGGGCGTAGGTTTGTTGGTTATCCTCAGTATCATTTAGATGTCATTATGAAGGATCATTTGTTATTGCTCTGACTGCAGTAGGATGATTTGGGGGAATTCTATAGCATCAGCAGTAGAGGATGTAACATGTACGTGAGAAGGTCCCCCGTTATGCGTACAAGTGACTACCTGAGAGGGGGTCACTCATTCTCATGATCAAAAGCATGAACTTGAAGTTAAAGGATACTTGCATTGTATCAGAAGCCAAAGGAAGATGCAACAGGTACCTATAGCAGACACTTTGGGTGGCACAGAACCAGACCTGATGCATGTTTAATGCTGCAGTCCTGCCATGCTGTGGTAAATCAGTGGTCGATAACATGACAGCATCAATATTGTTGGGGATGATCACCCTGCAGACTGAAGCTCTAATTTTGCAGTACTTCCACCTCCTTGCATTTGTTGGCTGACCATGCACGATTTTAATACTGTTTTCTCATCTACATATGCATACTCATCAATATTTTATGAGAAATTTGAACTGTTTCAGATACCTTTGAGATATTGATGTCTTTGACCGGATCTACAGCACAGTGGCTGACACTGATGAGCATGTCTCTTTAACAAGACCCAATTGATATTTATCCTATGAAGGTTCAGCATTCTATGCTAGACCAAATGAAAACCAAAAACTTTTATATCATCGTAGTGTTCATAGGAGCTACCAGCTTATCATTATGGCTCTTCAACTACCCTTCAACCAGCTTTCGTGTTATTGTCACCAAAACACACAAACAAATCAACAATATAAAGAATCTGCCCTCCAACATGCAGAAGAAGTCTACCCAAGAACTAAGCGTCGACCCAGTGTATCTGAACGCGCTTGGATTTTCGGACGACACAGTGCTGATTGGACACAAAGGGTCTGGCCAGAAGGCTCTGCCGGTCATAGCTACTAGTGTTGAGCCGGGCAAGCTGGAGAAGACTGTGAACTTTATAAACTCTGTCAGGAAGTACATGGAGACCAGACGTCTCGTTCTTGTGGATCTCGGAGTTTCCAAGACAGAGAAAACCATGGTGAGAAGGACTTTAGATTAATATCCAAATATACTCAGCAGCAAAAAAAACGTCAGTAAGAGTTCAAAATTTGATAGGCACTGTAATCAAATCATTACAGCAATGGACATAATAAGCGGATCAAAAACATTTTTTGTGTACAATATCTTGACACATCAATGAATAACTCAGCACAATTTCAGGACATTACGTGAATGTTTGCAGTCCATTCAGACTCTTGACTTCAGTATCTAGTGTGACCACCATGAGCGGCAATAACTGCAGCACAGCGTCTATGCATGGAGTGCACCAATCAATTGATGAAGGCCATTGGCACCTGGAACCACACTCTGAGAAAGGCCTGGCGCAATAAATCGGCTGTGTTCGGCCTTGGTATGACATTATTCAGTCTCCTCTGAATTTCATCCCAAAGATGTTCAATTGGGTTTAAATCAGGACTAAGGGCTGGCCACTGCATAATGTTGACACCATCTGCTGAAGGAAGTCCCATGTAGCTCTGGCAATATGGGCCCGGGGCGTTATCATGCTGGAAAATGTTGTTCCGGTGACAAGCGAAATGTGGTATGACGTCGGGTCTGAGAGCTTGGTCGATGTAGCGCACTGCTGTAATGCAGCCTCCCTTCCCTAAACCAGCGTTCTGGAACACCATAGGATCCACTCTCAGGTTCAGGCCTGTTCCACCCCATACCATGATGCTTGCACCTCCCCATGAGTCTGTTTCCATAACACATTGGTCTGAGTAACGCTGGCCACGTCGTCGCCATATTCTTGTTCTGCCGTCTGCAGTTGATACGCAGTACCGACTCTCATCTGTGAACAGAACAGTTCTCCATTGCCTGTATCACCAGTTTTGGTGTTGCAGGGCAAACTGTAGACGTTTACGCCGATGACAATGGTGAGGATAGGTCCACGGTAAGGTCGACGGCAATGGAGGTTCCCGCTGTTAAGACGTCGGCATACTGTATCAGTACTGATTGGTCTTCCATGTGTTCCCACTGTCTGGCGTTCTGTTTCGGATGCCTGCATGAAGGGATTCTGTACATGTTGTTGCACAACATGGCGGTCTTGTCGTCTTGTGGTCTCCCTTGGTCTGCCAGTACGGGGGCGATCATTTGTGGTGTTGGTGGCCCGGAAACATTGCTGCAGCCTGTAGATGATCCTAACATTGACCTGGAAGTGATTGGCAACGGCTTGTGCAGTGTGGCCAGCTTCAAGTCTTCCGAGCGCCTGGTTCCTCTGAGCTGCCATGAGTCGCGGCATCCTGCTGACGTTGTAATGTGAATGTTTCAACCAGGTTTGGGGGTGCATTTTATAGGGCTGGTCCTTGTGAACAGCACGTGCAGCATGAGTTGCATGAAACACATGGAGAACACCGTACCATCTCCGAAATCAGGTTGCGTTTTGAGACCATTTCCTGGGTTCCATTCTGAGTTTGGGAAAGAATGTCTTTGCTCAGGTAAAGTTGGAGATGTCAAAAATATACAATCAAAACATTAAATGAGTTTACAGTTATCCGTTTCTGCGAAGGAAAATTCCAAACTTACATTTCTATTGCTGCCTAGTATACATCAGCTTATAATTGAGATGCTAAGCAAATCAGGTTTTCATATATACTATTCACAATTTGCTAAGGATCAAATCATTGATTCAACAGAAAACTATGGTGTGGGGTCACATATCTAAGCCTATTGTAAGCATGGATCCTAGGTTTCAGTATGTCATTGCATCTTGTGGATCCCATACCTGCTCTTGACAGGTGTTGTGTACTTATGACTCGTTCCATGATTTACAAAATGGTTGATTGATGTCATGAAAACAATTTTTATGGTTACTCATGTATCAAGTGCATATGGTTAGCTTAAAGTGGCTGTTTTCCTACAGATGTGTTACCATAAAATTATTTATCCAGTTTTAAATGGATACAATTTCAAATTATGAATCTGCGTTTAAGTAAAGTTGCGAATTTTTGTGATCCTTAACAAAGTGTGAGTAGTATATCTAGTCATGTAGAATCCACAAATGATAATGGCACATACAGTGGTCCAGTCCACTTGTTTTTGTTTTTGTGTTCGTTGTTTAATGCTGCACTCAGCAATATTGTAGCTACATTGCAGTGGTCTGTAAATAATCAAATCTGGACCAGACAGTTCAGTGATCAACAGGATGATTAATTTACAAAGCTGGGATGTAAAGACATGCGTCAATCAAGTCAGAGAGTCTGACCAATCGAACCCGATAGAACAAGCATGGGTTGCTGAAGACCAATTCTAAACCGGATCTTCATAGGAATCAAAATGGCTGTCATGATACCAGTAGATGCCATTGTTTGTCATCCAAACTAAACAGGATGCTAATATTCAGGATGTTTGCCATTTCAGTTAAGAAAACACTGTAACAGCACATGGAACTGTAGAATCAACATTTTGAACTACGAGAAGTATCCCTCTCATGTACAGTACCTGGATACTCAGAGCTACCGGCCTATTTGTATTCAGGTGAGTTACCCATTGGCCAGTACTCGCACATGTCTTACAAGCAGTTTCACAGTTGCTCAGTAGGGGTGTGGGCCAACTCTTTCACTTCTTACAAGCACTTTCACAGTTGGTCAGTTTGGGTGTTATTACAGGCTTGATTTGGATTCAGATTTTCGGTTGACATTGTAAGCTAAACGTGTTCATCTCCAATCATGCAAAACTTGGTCAATGATATTAGTCATGCAAAAATGCTGGCCTACATTCCTAATCATGCAAATGTGCTTGCCTACATTCCTAATCATGCAAAAGTGCTTGCCTACACTCCTAATCATCCAAACATGCTTGCATACATTCCTACTCATGCAAAAGTGCTTGCCTACACTCCTAATCATCCAAACATGCTTGCCTACACATAGGTACGATATGGCCGATGTGACGTTAAATATTAACTCACTCACTCACTCACTTGCCTACACTCCTAATCATCCAACCATGCTTGCCTACATTCCTAATCATCCAAAATGAATTCCCCATCAGCATGATCAGGGAACACATTTCATTATACCAGGAACTTTGGCAATGAGGAGAGTATCAGTTTGTTGAGTTATAAATCTTCTGACATTTGATCAAAAGTGCCCCAGGCACACCGTGTCTTGTAAAAGTGTGGGGAATTGGTTAAAATCTCATAATTGATGATTGGTTCATTACAACCGATCAATCATTGAAAATAATTGGTTAGCGTCATTTATGAAATTTGTTAATGCACAAAAAATAAGGAAAAAAACATGTAGTTCTTTGGGGGGGTTTGGGGCAAAATTTCACATCTTTTAAGGATGACTAGTATGTTAGGAACATACATTTCTTGGTGTCTTTAAGATAAATTCAATCCTGACTTGGAACGAGTTTGTAGTGCTTATGAAATGTAACAGACAAAATACACCTAGTGAAACATACGGTTAATGAAAACAAGTGTTCCAGAATTGTTTGTGTTCGATTATGAGAAAACATGATCGATTGCTTGGTCGTTTAGTCTCTGCGACCAATCTTCGATTATTTCAATTAATCGGACCACCACTATCTTGTAATGATGTAGCTATGTTTGAAACTGATCCAGAATGGTTCTTCACCACTGACCAAAGAAGGTTGTGTTTCTGGAAGTTATCATTGTGGACTATTCTGCATTTTGGGGCTGTTACAAGATACAATTAAGACTGAGATGCATATTTAGCTGTGAAAAAGGTGTGATCTACAATTCAGAACCTGTATATCATAATTGTAGTGTCCTGTTTCAATCAACAATATTTTAACCAATCAGACTGCTGCACACAATCCCACTTATTTTCCAATGAGTCTTTATTTACTTGTACATTCATCTGCAGGAACTGCTGACTGAGTACGGAGCAGTCATGTGGGTCGACACATCCCTGTATTTCACCAACAGCAAGATCAATGAAAGTCTTGCCTTGGCACAAGCCTCGGGGATAGCTGCATGGACAATACAAGACCCAACATCATCTTTAACTCACCCTAAAATGTTTCAGTTCTTTAAAACAAAACCTGATGAATTTTATTTCCACCGAGCCGTAGAATCAAGTCATCTTGTAATATACAACACAGAGACAATCCACAGGAAACTTATGCTTCCTTGGGTAAAGTGTGCATTGTTGGAAGAGTGTATTAGTCCTACAGGTGCTCAGAATGTAGGGTGTAACTATCTCAGAAGACCCTTATTTAAGTATTCAGGCTGCCACCATTATGACATGTCAGCCCTTAATGTTATTTTAGGACTTTTGTTTGATTTCGAAGTGTCGAAGTATTCATCATCGGAGAAGATCTTCGGAGCTGTAAGTAAAGACGGAATGAATTATACAACACCACAGTTTAAGCTGAGGTCGGCCAGTTGATTGTATATCGAGGTGAGTTCAGCATGAACTGAGAAGATGTTCCTATAAATAGAGCACATTGTGGGAAGTGTTTTATTGAACATAATCGTTGGACTGTCGCCATGAACTACAGATGCACATGACAACTTGCTCTTTCTCTAAGTTTCTATACTATTTGCTTTCATGGAAGGATGAAATATTCATTATTGTTTTAGGGCTGTTTTGGTGTGGTCTGTGATAACAGTTTCATTATGAGTTCAAATCAAGCCTGTCCTGCTTCTAGGCCAAACTGATCAAAGTAAAGAGGCTTCTTCAGAGAAGAGACTTCGATTTCCCATCATTACATTGTCGTCTCCAGATGTTATTTTTCTTTATTTCTACCTGATATGCATATATCCATAATCATACAACCATGTATTCATCTTAATCATACAACCATGTATTCATCTTAATCATACAACCATGTATTCATCTTAATCATACAACCATGTATTCATCTTAATCATACAACCATGTATTCATAAGCAGAAAGATTCAGTTGATCACCTGACTCACCTTGGTGAACCTAAATGTGACATTTTGACGAAAGATATTCTTTGTTGTGTCAAAAATGTTATTCATGTTGGGTCAGTTTCCTCTCGAGATTTGAAGAATTAGGAGATCAAAACAGACAGCACATCAAAATAATTACTTTACAGTAATCCAAACATACGTCTACATTTTTAAAATTAAATGATAACATATTGTATCATGTTGAATTTGGGTTTAATACATTGTTTTTGAATTGAGGTCAAAGGTATGGTAGAAAATGAAAGGTAATTGTCTCACTAGAAACACAGAAGGCTAACTTCGCTCTCTTGTAATTCCAATTTATGAAATGAGTGATTAGTTCTGGCAACTGACAAACGAAAGTGAATCATATATCGGAACTATTCATGATTTATACAATTGGTTAGAAATGGGCGTGAGTTATTATATTTTATTTATTACAAGCTGTTTAAAGCCTTTTCAGCCCTGTTTGATGTAGCTATTAGATTTCCCACATAATCAGTCAGAGACGAAACATGTACGCGAGACAGCCTACTGTCTCTTGTTTGCAACGGGTGTGCTCTGTGGTGAAGCGCTTGACCCAAATTAATTCAATCACAGTGGAACCATCTTGAATGGGTGCGAACCAGCAAGGGGTGATTAAAACATCATCAAGTGTGGTGGTTAATTGCCAGTCGTGAATAAACAGGTTTCTCGATAAACCAGGTCAGGCTTATGAATACAATATTTCTCTGTTTGTAAATAAGAAGACATGGACACATTCCACAGCATAATGCAACAGTTTGACTCAGTTCTACAACTTGGGGCACATTAAATATTGACATGTAATAATTTAATACACAACTGCCTTTAGAGACCAGTACCAAATTGTTTCCAAAGACATTGCAAGACACTGAGGTATTGTTGTGATACACTGGTGAAACATTGCACTGTGATGTCAGCCAAGCAACTGCACCGCTGGGGTTCACTGTGTGCAGTAGCTTCTCTCACTGTTCTCTTCTGTTCACCACCCGATGTCATTGAACATTGATCAATATTTCAGTATTTGTTAGTGAAAGTAGTTCCGGCAGTACATACGCCAGCCCTTTTGTATTAGTGTGTAATACATAGAGAATCTCACCCAAGTGTCTTCTGATACAATTATATCAACACGAGTTGATAAAGTTACAAATATCCGAGGCTTGCCGAGGATATTTGAACTTTTATCAACGAGTGTTGATATATTTGATATCAGAAGACACGAGGGTGAGATTCTATTTATCATCCAAAATCACTCTTCATTAGTTTTCAATGAAAAATGTACATCTCTGAACCCAGTACTGCCATTAGACTTGCAGTGCAGCGATGTCAGGGCATTGTGACGTCATCAAGTTCATGACGTCATAACATTGTCAGGGCGTTGTACAAAATCTACTGTCAAAACGATATCTCCTAGCCTAGGAGATATCGTTTGATCTCACACAAGCAATATCTCCTGTGGAACTAAGAGGTTAGTAATAATGCTGAAATATGACAGTGGATAATCCAGGATGTCCTCATACCGTTTCAATAATACAGCGTGAAGTTGGTTGTAGGGGTTAGTTGCAGCAGGCTGGTAATTGGTCAGAAGAAGGGAGTGTGAGAAATAGTTTACAAATACAAAATGACCCCATGAAAATTCAGTGCCAGTCGAGCCAGTGACTGGAGATTTACTGGCCCGATTTAATTTTACGAGCCATGGCTATTTCACACAGAGTGGATCATGTGGACATGATGTTGGAACTGGTGTGAATGTTACATTCTTTGAGTCAGTGAAGACTGCTTGCTACAGTGGAGAGTTAATTAGATAAGTGACTGTTACCAGCTGGATTACTTTGCTATATCACTCAGAGATGCCAACCCATATCATTTTATCATATTTGTTACGAAAAAACAACACAACATATGCGACGATAGCCGTAAATATATACAAATTTAAACAAAAAAATACATTAAATTAAATTATCAAATAGCATACATACTATACACAATACCACATTTTATTCAGTATTAAGCATCCACATATAGCTTATTTAGGTGAGTACACTTTAATAACAAGCTCTTCGAAAACCCTTTGGAAAAGTTAATACTAATTTTGGCCCCTAATTTAATCAGTTTTGGCCCAAATTAGGGTTGGCACCTCTGTATCACTCCATAAATAAAACAGGAAGGGTGTCATATATGTTTTAGGTATATATTTCCTTTAATGTTTCTCTGTATGCATACGATCATGCATGCAGGCACACAAAACACACATGCACACACACAAGTCATTCACTGTGGACTAAACAATCCAGTGATCCAGTGATTCACATCATGAGCATCAATCTTCAATGATACAAGGTGTATCGTAGTGCAACTGGAAACATTGTGTCCCATAAGCACATCTGTAGTCTGTCCATATACAGGATAACCTTTTCTATCTAAAACTGCATAAAGAATATCTTTAGACTTGCTAAAACATTGAGAACTCTTTCATATCAGGGTGCCATTTTGAATGTTAACCTTATATTTAGAAGAAGCATTTGGGATTGCTCGTTGATTTCAACCTTAGACGCAAGAATGTCTTGGCTGTGTTAGTGATAACAGACTAAGATGTGTTTTTGGAAGTAACGTAGCTATGGTAACGAATTGGTCCTGGGTCTAGCTCTCTACAGAATGGAGGTGTGAAACACTGAATAAGGAGGTTGTATATTTGCAATAACATGTTTTTGTGTGTATTTTAAGGTTTTACCAGTATATTTTGTTTATGCAATCAAATGGTTTACTTTTTTTACCCTTTTATTATGATACTAAACATATCTAGATATCCAGTCAAAATTTTGTACACACAAGTTTTGATATGTAAATGATAATCAAACCGTTAATATTGTCTTATGTTGTTCATATGTATGTATCAAACTGATAATTGTCTATATATTGTGCATTCAAAGTTTGAAATTCAAACATCAAAGTGACAGGAATATTGTGTCAGATTCCTTGTTATAAACACTTGGGAAGTATCGCCACGGTAACATATTGTCATATTGTCAGAACTCACTGTTTTAAGGGAACCACTGACCTGACCAGTGGGAAAAATCCAAATACTGTAGTCACGTTTTGTAAATTCTTCAAACAAACATGAATATTTCAGCACTTAATTCTGGTTACTTCTAAATAATTTTTTCCCCAGGTTTTGTAGTTTTGCTTTTGTTTTTGACTAGGATAGTCATTTTTCTAATAAATAGGTCCACAACTCATTATTGAAGTGAATCTTGAGGTCACTGCTGTAAACATAAGAATGTAGGCATCTTAATTCAAAACAAACTACCTACAATGCCATGGAAAACATTTTGCAGGATGGATGAAAGGTTTTGGTGTACTTGTGTTTGGCCAGTTGTTACAATAGGGAATCACCACAGAACACAGTGTCAAAATCTCTTTAGTTTATTGATGCATTCTTACCTTTAATGTATCTGATCACTATCGATGAAAGGCTTCCTTCCCAATCTTAAGTATATTTTTATGAGGACACCAGGTTTGTGTTTTGCGCCTTGAAAACTGACACACCTGAAGTGTTTTATACTAGAATCACATTGTATATGTACAGACTCATCTGTTGTCAACATTCAAACACTTCTGTGTCAATAAGACTGCTGTCATTATCATCAACTTCTCCTGCGTGGAATAAAAATTGTTAAATCCTAATGCATTTTCTTGTGTTGTCATCATGATGAGTGAGTATGGTTTGATGCCATTTTTAGCAATATTCCAGCAATGCCACTGCAGGGGACACCAGAAATGTGCTTTACACATTGTACCCACTTGGGGAATCGAACCCGGGCGAACGCTTTAACCACTAGTCTACCCCACTGCACCACATGTCATCATATCACCCCTCATGATGATGATAGGTATAGACTGTCAGTAATAACTTATAAGGGCAGTCGCTGTCTGAAATTACTTAAACTATAAGTTAAAGGATTTGTTAATAGGTTCAACTTGTTCATTTTGTGTTACATAATTCCGTTCAAGCATAATTTAATACAAAATCAGAATATTCTTGTAAGTATTTTGTAATATTTATGATTATTCCAAGTGCACTTTGGAAAATACTCCTGACAGTATATATGGTAATGTGTATCACAATACAGACCTGGGCCCTTATTCTCGAAATGTTCGTAGCCCTAAGAATTCTTAAAGGTCACATGCAACCAAAAAATCAAACATAATTAAAACACAATTATCACTTATTCATGACATATAATATACATTGCTGGTTATGAAAAAACATATAAACAAAATTTTAAGCGTACAATCGCAATTCAAAAGTGCAATATTGTGTACTTCGGTTTACTTCCCAAGAAACGAAGCAGCCGGGATACCGAACCCAGTCAGAGCGGGTGGGTGTGCACTCAAGTGTAACGGCTGGTTCATTTGCAGATGCCCTCACGGGTCATTGTGTGTGTATATATAAGAGATGTTGGGTTTTGTAAATACATGCTCATTTTTTGTGTATAACATTTTGCAATCAACAGACATCATAACATGTCATGTGTTCAAGTATCACACCTGCCTGTCTGTGTAATTACATAATGTGAGAGAGACCGAACTCGGGCCATAAATCAATGCATTTTGTTTATGGTGTACAGCCTGATTGGTGTTAAGTTCAAATTGCATGTGGTCAGTGATAGCAGCTGTGTATTGAATATTGTCATTAGCAGACAGGCAGGCAGACACACAGGTGTCAATAAAACAAGACATTGAGTTTGGTCTGTGACAACGACATATCTATATCACAGTTGAATTCTGGATTTTCATCCGTGAGGAAAGAAGTCCTCACATTAAAATAAATGTTGCTCTGATGTAAATCTGTGTGAAGACCTGAGAATACATCCACTGGACCTTGCCAACCAGGGACTTTTAATCTAAAGATACTCTCGATCTTGACACACATTTCTGAAACAATTGTCTTTCAAATCCCTCCCTTGATAGCATGCAATTTCGGGTCCAGATGTAACTGTGGAATGTAAAAGTTTGGTGTATTGAGTATCCAAAACATTTTGAGCACAACATCATTGCCAGATTGACATAATTACCAAGAATTATGAAACCTTGACACTGACTCATGTGCCAATTATTAATTTCAGCTGATCTGATGTTCAAGAGCGGGTTTCAGGTTTTTACGCCAAGCGCAAATGTGCGTCCAGTAAGCACAAATGTAGAGAATAGACGTAGAAAAAAATCTCACTGTGTCCAGAGGGACGCACAATGTTATTCACTGTACCTACAACACGTCTATGACCTTGTGAAGTGTTTAGTTGTTTCTATCAGAGCAGTTACTTGCATCATTTCACCCATCACAGGACCCTCGTATCGTCCGCCAGGACCTTGTTTAGTTTGGTTTAGTTTTATGTCACTTTTAACAAAATTCCAGCAACATCACAACAGGGGACACCAGAAATGGGCTTCATACATTGTGCCTATGTGGGGAATCAAACCCGGGTCTTCGGCGTGACGAGTTAACGCCTTAACCACTAGGCTACACACACACACGTGCGCTTGTGAGTCCAGGTAAAACCCTGGGGTTTGACGGATCTTCACTCACAGAGGCATCAGACGATTTGAGCAGATCTGACATGCCCAAGGGAGGCAACTCTGCTGCCAGTGTGCTGCACAGTTGGATGACGATCACATAAAACAGACACAAATATAATCATGATAAAATTCAACCTTTAATACTGTCAACATAAATCACAAAGACACATTCATACAGTGTGCTATAAAATGTAACAATAAATAGAATTATGCTGGAAAAAAGCAGTGCCACAACTACACTTTACAGATGACATCCGTGTGGCTGCAAATCACCATTACATGTTACTTCTGGTCTACACGGCATATAGATTCTGATAACACTTTAACACAATCAAATATATGCATGACACAATATTGCCAAGACGATGAAGAATAGGTTTAGCAGTAATAACACGGATATTCTTAAAATACACTCAGGCTTGCTTCTTGACTAGCACTACCCATTCAGCTACCCAATGTCTCAACTCAAGAACAGCAGCAAACCAGGAGAAATGCGACAAGAACCTCTCTTAAAACCTTACATAAAACAACAAATAACATCTACTGTAAATGCGGACAACGATGTGGAATAAAAACAGTTACCTCATCCAAAGTTTCAGATGATTTTAACAAGTACTGTCATCTTTACTGTTTGGAATGTGGCCTGTCCACATGAAAAGCTTTTACGTAGTGGGATAAAGGTTTTATGTTGGTCCTCTCGCAGTTTGTTGTATTTGTGAGGTAAACCATATCCCTTCTCGTGTGATTTGAACCTGAGTATGTATTAAGCAACATCAATAATGAATTTCTTCCTTCTACGATCAACACTGATCACATGCTGTAGTTGCAGGGAAACTACTTTCAGACAATAATAAGAGACATTTAGAATTTTGAGCGATTCACATTGACTGATCGTGAAATGAATAATAAGTGGACACTTGATATGTAATGTAAATAAATGTCAAAAATTACAATTTGACAGTCGTTTTCTATCTATGTCATCATGAGGTCACACCAGTCTCGCTGTGCTTATCAAAACCTACTGAGATACACGACTCTTCTACCGTAGGTGCTGCAGCAATATTGTTGTACATTCTGTGATAAGTTTGAAAAGAAGTATAAAGATTGTAGAGAATACGCTGCAATACATTCCATGTACATTGAAGGGTGTTTTCCCAAGCAAAAGTGACAAAAGTGACCAACCATCATATGCATATTAATAAGTGAAGAGCTATAAAAAATATACCAAGTATCTGAGGTTCTAGACCACTTGAGGGTTGATGTAACAAAATACTGATTGATATTTGCCGTAACCATTGTACAAGAGATTCTGGGTAAGAATACTGGTCCCTAGCTAACCTGTGCTGGTCGTAAGAGGTGACTATTGTGGTCAGGTGGTCAGTCTCGGTGACTCGATGCATGTCATCGTATCACAAGTGTGCAGATGAAAGCTCAATCACCAGTTCTATAGCTGTAACACTGCTGATCTAGGCATAAGGTAAACAACAGACAAACACAACATCAGAACATGTGAAACAATATTTCAACTGAAGATGACTTCACAAAATCCCCCTGTAATAGAGATATCTATCTTTACGCAAGTTTAATTTTGTTGAACAACCACGTCAGCTTGTGTTCAACTCACCGACTGTCTGCTGCAGTAGCAGACCAAGCCACTGATGATATGGCACAACAGGTATTCAAGTATTTGGAAGAGTGAGTGAGTATGGTTTTACACCAATTTTAGCAATAATCCAGCAACATCATGGCAGGGGGACACCAGAAATGGGCTCACACAATGGGGCCTTCGGCGTGATGAGCTAATGCTTTAACCACTAGGCTATCCCACTGCCCTTACTCAACTCAGATCACAACTGCTAACTTGTCACATCTAAAATTGACTGTATCTCAAATACTAAGGCTATCCCACCGCCCCTGTAAGAAGTATATCAGTCATAAGGTAAAAAAGAAATGACTTGTTTCACAAACCTTGCATGTTGCAAATCAAATAGAATTTGCAGTATAGTTATTCATTAATGTTACCCGTCGTTTGAAACATGAAGGTAAACTCAGATATTGATACGTGTAGAGCTAAAGTATGAAATCAGTATATAACCATACAAAATATATAAATAATCAACAAAATATATTGAAACACTCAGGAATTGGTTCACAATCATTAAAAGCGATGGACCATATATGTGGTATTGGCAATTAATAACATAATACCCTATTACAAGAATCAGTTCATTTACAAACGTCCTGATAGATGACGGGACCTTCTTTCACTGACAAAACAGATAAGATTCCGAACTTCCCTGATCTCGTTATAATACAGACACTTCTAAATCAGCATAGTCTATCCCAGCGCTCATATACAAAGGTGGATAACTCTCAAATATTGTGATTGTTGAATACCATCAATATAAAGATTAAGAAACAATGGCACTTGACATTTTATGACTGCTTCAATTAGCTGCCAATGACAATCATCAGACGTATATTTACCCTTGATATACAGCACATAACATTAAGACAATTATTTAGAAGCCAAACATCCATCTACCCATCCATCCATCTTTTCTCTCTTTCCCTCGATCCTCTTCCACTCTCTCTTTAAATATAGTCACCATAATTCATTTCTTGATGTAACTAATTCATTCATTTTCAGAAACGAGATATTTGGGTGGATGGTAGCACTTGGTAATCAAGGACATTCAAGGTGTCAAATATAAAACCTAATGAATCAACACTAGTGAGGCGGCTAGTACCTGGAGTCAAAGCCAATGTTTAACACATTCATGGAAATAGATTGCAGTTCAAAGCTGAAACATATGAAGCCTCTAAAATCCCAGACAAGCAGCTTTCAAGTATGTACATTTTGAGAGTTTTTGCCCAAGACACTTGGAACCCTTGCCAAGCTCTGAAATCTACAGCACTTCAATGCAGTTCCACCGAACAGCCTATCTTTTTCTCACACACCTCTTCTCTTCACATCTCAGGCTATATTGGTAATCTATATCTGCACTGATCTGTTCTCCAACCTTTGAATAGACTGACTTGTGTGTGTCCCCTGGACCTCCGTATCATCCAAATTGCTACATGTGCATCACTATCTGAAGCTTGAAAGACATGGGTGAAGCCAGCATGGCTTGTAATGTGCTTGTTCCAAACATGGCGTGCTTGCTTCTGTTGTGGAATATGCCATTTGTTTGATCAGTCATACAGAACAACATGGTGGTGTTGATCTAGTTGTCCACAATGGCTTGGTTCCGGTCATCTGGAACACAAAGAGTGAGTGAGTGGGTTTGGACAGTGGCATAAAATGGACAGAAAGTTGAATGTCTTAGGACTTAGACGTTTACCCACTTTGGTGGAACCAGTAAGCAGGATGGATGAAGGATCCTGTCCAAGCTAGGAACAAACCGAGAGTGTATCGGGATTCAAACCCACGATCATCTGGGCCTTTTTTAATGCTTTACCTAAGCAAAGCAACTCTTAGATAATGGGGGTCACCCATGATCCCACGAACACACTTGGACTCTTCACCCTGACCAAACTTTATTTCTTGAGGTTGTCCTGAATCCCCCCAAATTTCAAAAAGGGAACATAATTGCAATAGTTCACATGCACAAACATGGTTACAAGCTAAATTCCTTCCAATTAAACTAAACTCGTGAAGATCCAGGTTAGACGTAGTCTTCAACAAGCTTGGCGTAAGAATCGACTAACGGGATCGTGTAGTCGGGCTCGCTGACTTGGATGATGCATGTCATCACTGGATTGTCTGGTCCTGACTTGATTATTTAAAGATTGCCATTACATAGTTGGAAAATTGGTGAGTGTAGTCTTAAACAACAAGCAAGAAGCAGAGTCAATACAGTCACCATGACACTACTTCTGATGGTGGTATATCTTGTCACAAACATACATGAATCTTGATCCCATTCTTTTTTTATGCATGAATATTAATGAATATTTATATAGATGTATGTATAGGATGTATATATCTATAAATATATATGCAGATGTATGCATATATGTAGATGTATATATGTAGATGTATATGTATATGTATTATGTATGTGTATGTATGAATAAACATGTACATATATACACATATAAATTATATTGTGCCACCCCTAATCATCTGGTCCCTGACAGATGTCACTGGTACACACAATGGCCAAGTGAGGTTATCATGGCTGGGTTTTTCAGTAATGGTTCACTTTACATTTCGTTGACAGGACATAATATCTCAAGTCCCTGTCAACCTGAGACACATGACATTTGGTGATGGATAGTTCCTGGTGTTTGGTAGGCATTACTATGGTGAACCCATCTCCATATTGTACCACAGGCAAACTGTAACGCAAATAGGGTTGCGCAACAGAGAGAAAAATGACCAGTCTTTCTGTATGTGAGCAAATCAAGCAAAGGTTGGCAACGTGCTTCCCTCGCTTCGGTTCTAAGAATATTTTTAATATATAAGTAAAATATCGCCACCATCAAAGGTAGACACCCATTTCGTCACAGGGTTGTGCTTTCAGATTTCCAACATCATATATAATAATTACTCACATACAATATATTTAATTCAACATTTTAAGCACCACTCATGGCATGTCAAATCGTTCTTCGCCTCCATTACCCCTGCCAGCTTCTGGTTCAACCATTGTGATAAGCCTCACCTGTCTTGTTGCCAGCCAAGTCCAACATTCTGTTGATGACCTCCCACAGACAGGACGGCTTGGGGAACTGGTTGTCGACGAGGTTCACCAGGTAGTAGTTGTTGCTGATGTCCTCCAGAACTTTGTGAGACCGGGAATCGGGTGCGTACAACTTGCCCCATGTTTCCAGCCACAGCCCGAATGCTTCGTCCTGGAGACAGAGATACTTTGGTCAGGCAACTTGAGGAAGTAACAAAACAACTGCAAGTCTTGTGAAAATTATGAGTTTCATTTAGAGAAAATGAAAACCAATCTTCATACCTTCTCCAAATGCACTTTGGGTAACAAATAAACAAGCATTTCAGCAAATTAAATACTTTTGTAAAAATACATAGACTCTGTTAATGCCTTCTTCAAACATCTTCGGGTAAAATAGATGACAAACGTAATGATAAGATAGCATTAAAAATTAACCAATCACAATAAAGGCTGTTCTTGCCCAGGTGAGATAAAATTTGAATGGGAAATCTAACCCCTCCATGCATTTCCTGTTAGTGTCAAGATCTCACTGCTTAACCTTTAATCTGATTTGACTGTAGACTGTGTGGAGATAAGTGGCTTGTAGGTGGAGAAGAAGGTTCTGTTGTATGTGCTGACAGTGCTGTTGTGTATAAACCAGACTGTGAGGGTAGTTTGTGATGAATCCAATACAGTTTAGACATTTGGCATGTGATGGTTTCCAAATATCCTGCATGAGTAAAATCTTTATGGAAATATTTTCAAGCTGTAGTTCTCTCATACTGAACATACAATCTTGTGTATGTATTATTTGAACATCATGTGTATTTGTGTGTAGTGTTGGACATTATGCATATGTATAGACATATAGTCATAAATATGTGATAAATATACCTAGTGTTAATATGCAGACATAAAACTTCATGTTGAATACGAAACTACACTTGCATACAACATGAGTACATGACCGACTTTACAGCAGCCATTTTGTTTTGCTCTAGGGCAACAGAGACATGTGTGAGTGCATGTATGATACGCTTGTTGGTGAATGCAAATGATATATAAAAAATATGTTTCTGTCTATTGTATCACCATGGATCTCTGACACAAATACACTGTATTTAAGAGTGAGTGAGTTTAGTTTTACACCGCTTTTAGCAATAATACAGCAATATCACGGCGGGTTGGACACCAGAAATGGGCTTTACACATTGTACCCATGTGGGGAATCTAACCCGGGTCTTCGGTGTGACAAGTGAACGCTTTAACCACTACTCTACCCCACCGCCCCCCTGTATTTGAGAAGTGATGTACGGAAGTGTTGGCAGTCGTCACTGTACTTACGTAAACTCATCATTAACATTGTAGGATCCAGTTTGTTGTAAGCATCATTGTGTATGTTGAACAGATGAACGCTTTGCCTATGAAACTATATAATTTGGATAGAAAACAACAACTCTATCTAAATTGAAATGGAGCCCCAGTGAGATGGGAGATTCAAAAGTCCTGACCTGGAGGAATGTGAGGACTTGCTTAAATTACAGCTGTTGCCTTGCAGTTAGGGTTGGGTGGAGCAGAAAATAATATGGTTCAGGGAGTGTGAAACAGAATAAAAGTAAAATATCTGGAGGTGATCTGGGTGTATGAAATACGTAGACGAAGTGCATTTTTGTGTATTGCTGTATTGTCGTAACAATGTTTTAGCATGATGTTATCATGTATCAGCATGATGTTATCATGTATCAGCATGATGTTGTCATGTATCAGCATGATGTTATCATGTATCAGTATGATGTTATGATGTTATCATGTATCAGCATGATGTTATCATGTATCAGCATGATGATATCATGTATCAGCATGATGTTATCATGTATCAGCATGATGTTGTCAAGTATCAGTATGATGTTCTTACAACATGATTAACCTGAGCACAAATGTGGCTAATTTCGATGATGTGAAGATGTGTGAACTCAGGGGAACTTTTGTTTTTTTTATGGAGCCACAGATTATCCCGGTGTGTAACCGAAACTGCGCTGTCACGAAGAGCGTTATTGTGAGGGATGACTGTATATGTGTGCATGACATGTGAGGCATTATGAGTGGATTGTGAGCTAGAGTACTTTCTTAAGGAAATTGGATGGATGCAAATTGTTAAAGTTCAGATAAATTAATTGTTAAAAGTCTGTCTCTGTTACACCTGTTGTGACCATCAGCTATTGAGAACTATCTCAGTACCTTCCATGTCTTGAAGGCAATGGGATCGACGACGGTGGGCTGCACGATCTCTCTCCCCGGGAACACCCCCCACGTGACAGCTATCGGCTCTGACTCATGGCAGTTAGTGTAATTCTCATCACCCTGAAAGTAAACAATACAGCATTGTTGTCATGGATGTTTTGAGAATTGATTCCCATTACATTTAAAATAGACACAACATCAGAAATATCGCAACTGTATGGCAGCTGTCTGTAAATAATCGAGTCTGGACCAGTCAATACAGTGATCAACAGCATGAGCATGGATCTACGCAATTGGGATACGTTGACATGTGTCAACCAAGTAAGGAAGCCTGACCACCCGATCCCATTAGTTGCCTCTTACGACAAGGATGGGTTGCTGAAGGCCAATTCTAACCCAGATCTTCACGGGTATCACAGGTAGGAGCTGTTGAAGCTAGTGATAATGCCTACCTCACTGGACTTGTCTTTTACTATGATTTTTTGCCAACTATAATCTAGACTATGGTCTAGTTTACAAATCACACTTGTCCATAAAAACCTTTCTGTCACCATAAGTCTGCATGCAACATACATTTTAGGAATGACACATGATTTGTGGGTCCAGTAATTTTTAAATTTTTAACCAAAATTAGAGCCCTGTGCTCTAAGGCTCTGTCCAGAGTTGCATCCCTTTACCATACCAGGATCCACTGATCATAGATTTAAATCCAAGATTTGTTGTGGGTAGGATCCTTGGTTTGGAAGCATCAGAGGGGTTTGTCACCAGGCTAAAGTCACTTCTGGATGTATATGTTATCATCACTGATACTCGAGCTTCCACACTGTCACTTGGAGAGGAAATCTCGTACCTTCTTGTTGAGGATGTGGAAGTTGACTAGGGGATACTCAGGAAGGATCTGCCTCAAGGCTTCAACATTAGCGTTGGACGTGAAGAACTCGACATACGCCTGGCAAGTAGAACACACAAATACAGTCAACCTCTACAGTCCACAATGTATTTGCTTCTTGAAGAATGTTCGAAAATATATGAAAAATATCACCCTCGAGTCTGTTCCTTTATATGCTATACATGCCCAGAATTAACCTGACTGTCATGGTGATTTAAACGATGAATCTGTGGCACATAATTTTGGATATCTTAACAAATCTAGACCAGTATGAACAGATATGAGGGTGATGTTATTCCTTATCATACTTAATTAGTAATTAAATATCATCAGTGTTTTAGTATTAATGTGCTCAAGCAGACACCCATTTTGAAATTGTTAACTTCCATCATAACAAAATAATATTGGCAGCAGCTATTTCAAATTGGAACTTGCAAGGCCTATTCAAAGACAAGCAGGCTTATATGAGAGCAAGCACAATCATGGTACCGCTAAAGTCTGTGCATGCTCGATACAAAAACATGCATCACTGTTGGAATGTTAGAAGTTGAGACAAACATCACACTCCTGTTGTTATAACAGGCCACCATAGGACCAGAAACACCCGAGCAATGTCAAGGCCATTACCAATAGTTCATATGCTATGTTCCAGGGCCCCGTTCCTCAAAGTGATCGTAGCGCTACGACAGTCGTAACTCTCATACTTTAACAATGTTTAACATAGACATACGACTGTCGTAGCGCTACGATCTCTTTGAGGAACGAGGCCCTGATCAATTTGTTGATTTACACTGACAAAGATTTGTATTAATTTTTGCTAATGAGAAAAAAACTTTATGACATCATACATTGTAAGCTCAACTTTTAATCAATCTTTGACAAAGAAAAAGAAATGTTTGGCACATTTATACAATTTAGAATTTTTCAACACCACAATTCATGGACTTGTGAAGCCTGTGGGAACTCTATTGATATTTTAACTGAACTTTGACATCATATGAAGTTACAAAGATCATTACTGACCATTGATATCATATTCATTGAAGCACATCCTAACTGAACTGATATCATGCAAGACAGTGATTTCAAAGTTAATGTGTTATATGCAAGAACAGCGATGTTGTCACATATACTCAGCCATCACCATAGATTTCAGTTTTTGTGGTGCCAATATTCTTTTGTCATGATAGAGTTGAGTGCTTAACGACTGGTAATAAAGGGACAATTCAAGATGGTCACTGAACCAAATTTTAACTTTGAATTTTAGCATTTCAAGAATGGCACTTCAGATTTCAGAATGTCTGTGGGCTTTTAGTTGTATAATGTAACCCAGTGCTTTGGACAACCCTCTCTACAAACCTTGCAACAATGTCAGTTTGAGAGGTTCTTAGTTGTCTAACGTAACTATGGTTACCTAGTGTAGCTTAGGACAACCCTTGAATTTTCCCTTCTGTGACAGTCAGCTGAGATGCTGTACATGACGAGTGTTAGAAGATAAACCAATATTCCCTTGAGCCTTTCTTAATATATGTTGGTTTGCCATTACCAAGTGAAATTTGAGTGGGTAGACATTTCATGCATTTTTCATTGTTATTCTTTTCAAAGTCAACATGCTTTATTTGTAAATGTAATATATATAAAAGATAACTGATTCAAATATGTTCACGCTATGGAAACTGTAGCAAAATTTGTCAATCTGAAAGGGGGGATGGACAAATATTGCTGTAGTTGCCATTTTGAATGGACAGGGCCCCATTCCAAACTGTGATCACAGTGCCAGGGTGATCGTCGGTCCCATGTTTAAACATAGGTTTACGATCAAAGTATCACTAAGATCACACTACAGAACATGGCACAAGTCAGCTTGGTGAGGTGAAGGCAAACAAACCATATGTTAATGTTGGCATCATCTAGTTATTGCAAGCATTGTATGAGTACATACAGATGGGTTTGACAAATATCAAGTTCAAGTAGCCAATGATAATCAAAGAAAATCAGTTTCACTGCAAATTTTTTAGATGACAAAACCTTTAGTACATAATTTATGGCTGGGGTGTGTGTGATGATGATGATGATGATGATAGTGATTTTTCTGGAGAAGCATGTACATTGTGAATGACCCCCCCAAAAAAATAAATAAAATAAAATAAAAAAAATAAAAAATAAAAATAAAAATAAATTTATGCACAAATTAAGTAATCCCCCTGCATGTCATGTACAAAATCAAAGACACCCCCCAGTACATGTGTACAAAATTGATGATCCCCCATCCCCTGAACAAAATTGGGTGCCCTCCCCCCATAAAAAATAATAAAAAATTAATATTAATGAACAAAATATAAATGAGTGAAAATAAAAAATGTAAAAAGAAAAAAAAAGAATCATCATAACACACACACACCCAGCCATAAATTACAACAGTCCCTTAGATTTAGTTTTCATTTATATATTTTCACCACTTTAATGTGTCAAAGGAAAACAGAAAAATAGCTCGTATATATATCATTAACATTTCTGAATGTATGATCGCATTTCGTCTAGTGAAGAAGTATATTTGTCAAACCCTAGTGATACCTAAAAAATTAAACATTAGTGAATTTGTTCGTCAAGAGGCAAATGAACAGTTTTTACTGTAAATCGGTGAGTTGTACATTCATCACATGTCCAAGTAATTTTACACGTGTTACACCCCGGGATGGGTGCCACGCCCAAGTAATACCTGGGTCAGGTCTACAGGGCTAGCTCCAGCCGTATCCGACAGCAACACTGGCTAGCCGGTATTGAACACGACGTCCAGCCAGGCGCTGACCATCGCTAGCAAGATGAAATACAGGATCAATTCAACACAATTCAACATTGAATGTTGTAACTGTTCTGTGAAGACATTTCAAAGGTTTGCTTTCTAGTGTGACAAGTTCACTATGCATAGTACACATGGCCTAGGGACGTAGATGAAGGCTGCATGTTCTGGGTTCATTTGGTTGGTTCACCATGGATGCAAATATACCAAACAAAGTTAGCAAGGATGAATATTTTGGGGCATATTTTTTATCAAATTGTGTGCTCTGTCTTCACTTCTTAATCCCACAAAATATTCATCATCGCTAACTTTGTTTTATTCAGTTTAAATACCAGAAACATTAAAAATACTATAGATGATATATCTATAGATTGCACATTTTATGAATTCATTCTTGAAGAATCATAAAAGCAAATTTCCTATTATCAAGTTCTGAAAATATTTGTCCATTCAAGTTTCATCACTGAATATTTTCCAACCTACTGAAATCGAACTTGTTGCTTACTATGATGAACCATTATGTGACAAAAATGCACATGCTTCCTCCCACTCCGATAGTCCTTTATGTCGCTTAATGTTGCAGCAAGCAGTCTCCTGGCTATGTCACGGAGGCTAGTCGTTGATAGCATGTTGCATATTTACAAATCAGCCATTGTTACTTTAACTTCCTTGTAGCTGGTAGGGACGGTTCAGTCCCTGAATCATGAAAAATGAATATGATTAGATGTGATTAGATAACAGGGAGAAATTTTGAGATATGACAAGCCAGAATATTGAAAAGATTGAGTAAATAACTTTCAAAATCGATCATAATTATCATATATTTCAATAGCTGTCGCATACTCTGCGGAAAGTCCCACATATAATTGTTCCACGAGAGCATCATTGTTCATGCTATCAACAACTGATCCCTGAAACAGACTCCAGGAACTTCCAGCTTCTGTGATACTACCAGGAAACTGCTTCCCACAACACTAACATACCCTCTACATCTGATCCTCCAAGTGAACCCAATACATGCAACCATCGATATTGTGAACATCATGGCAAGGTCTCATCTTCAGCATTGTATTCCACCATGCTGTATGTGGTGCCACGTCTTGTTAAATGGAAATGTTATACAATATTTTCGTATTTATTACATGCTTTGTGAATTTCCGAACCTAAAATTTCACAAATGTGAATTAAAAAAAGTGTTAGGTGGTCTATCTATCCTGTCACCCTGTCTTATTTCAGTTATGGCCAAGAAGGAAAGGGAGGTAACTCTTTGACCTGACATTTAATCTTTTCACTTGTTTCCCAACATTGTTTTCATTGCCCATATTTGACAACATGTTTTGTAGCAGATGGTTTTTGGCAGACCTAATACTTATTAAAAAACATGGTACTACCACACAGCCATGACGAGGAATTGCTGATAGAGAGGCATCCTCTTGAAAGTAAGGAGCCATGAACTCAGACCTTACACAGGCAACGTGAACTGACGTGTTGCTGCCAACTTGAGGCTGATACGATGCACTGGACTTTAATAAGATATACATCATGGCTCACCAGTTTACCAAGAAACATTTTTTTTCTTTCCAAATAAGTTTTGATTTGTATTACTATTAAAAGTCAGGAAATACAATAACAAAGGAAGAACAAAATATTATACTTGGGGACACACTGTATTGACCAATATCAAGGGCACAGTGTTTCATTTTGCCAAGAAATATATCCTTGTGCCAGTGACTCGCTTCAGCCTCCGAAGCCGCAGATGAAGGATAACTATTACTGATGCAAGCAGTGACAGTTGGTGTGATAAGCTTGAAACTATAGTGGCAGTTCTGATTGAATGAATTCCAATGAAGCAGTTAGTAAGCAATGACATGATCATTATAGACAACAGATAACTATATACTGTATTCATTTTCTGTAATGCAATCAGAACTAAAGACTTTGTGCCCAATACACTGATAAGATACATGCAAGTAGACAAATTCTGCCACCACTGACGACCCTTACATTTCCCCACATGTGTATTAACACTGGGTCCTGCAAGTAATGGGTTAACCTTTAATAACACGGCTACACATTAATACAGATTGAATCTAACAGACACAGAACTGACTTAACTAAGACATTTCCTAAACATACATTAACACAGATAATAATAATACATAATACTTTAGAATGAATTTCTACTTATCTAAACTATTGAAAAAAACAATCCCAAACCCACAGAGCTAACAAGGTAGGGTTAATTTCTATCCATCGTGTTTCTCACCACCCTACATTTCTACAGGGCTGGTTACCTTGATACACAGAATGCTAGTACTTGTTACATCAAAGCCCCGGGCCCCATTACACAAAGCTATCGTAGGTCTATGACTGTCGTACCTCCTATACTGGAACATAGACTTACGACAGTCGTACCTCCGATACTGGAACATAGACTTACGACAGTCGTACCTCCTATACTGGAACATAGACTTTACGACAGTCGTACCTCCGATACTGGAACATAGACTTACGACAGTCGTACCTCCTATACTGGAACATAGACTTACGACAGTCGTACCTCCTATACTGGAACATAGACTTACGACAGTCGTACCTCCTATACTGGAACACAGACTTACCACAGTCATAGCGCTATGATAACTTTGTGAAATTGGGCTCTGTATTTCACTGTCAGAGGAAACAGACATAAAAGAAAGTCTGTAAGCGGAGACCGTCAAATGACCAGGTCCAGTTTCTAAAGCCATCTCAGTACTATGATCACCCTGATTCTAAGTTAATGTATGACAATAATGACAGCAATAGCACTTTCTTTGATTGGAAATGGCCTCTTACTTAGAGTCAACACACTAAACTGGGACCTACCTGTAGTCATGCAAACAAATACTGACTTGTAAATAATATAATGTAAAATGTGTTCTATTTGGGAATACACTTTCTCAGTAAAGCAAAATTCTTGACCTTTTATGGATTGAGTCCTATCTGGGATTCGAACCCACACTGAGAGTGAGGCATCAAATCACCAGCACACAAGTTGAATCCAGCCACTCAGCTGGAGGTTTGGGTGTGGGTTTGAATCCAGGATGGGACTCAATTCATAAAAGTACTAGCGTTCATACTTTACCGAGAAAGAGTTATCACAAATATAACATTTGTTGTGTCAGGCCACTTCGTATCAAAATACACTGACGGCAGAAACTAAAGGACAGGGATACCAGGAATTAGATCCTCCATGACATTTTGCTTACACCCAAGGTTGACCAGAGATCATTCAGCGACACAATGACACAACAGTGTTCAAGTGGCACAACAGATGCTTTCCCTTGTGTCTGTTGATCTTTACTAACCATGCACGACCCTATACAGCTATACTGGTATGTGTTGCCTAATTTCTTCCCATCAGTATACAACTATCCTCTGACAATACACCTCCTGGGTTCAAAGACAAAGAATTGTCATAACCATTATAGACTTGGGCATAACTCACCTTCTGGAATATATAGCCGTTGGATGTCCCCCATCCGACCTTGGGATCCTCGGAGGGAGCGCGCCATTGACGCTAGGTTGGGAGTTGATGGTCAGGACGCCCTGTCGGTTGATCTCGCCCAGCTCCTTGGCAATCAGAGACGTCTCTGGAGAGAGTTCTTCATCATCCCAGGGGACTTTGGTCACCTGAAAGCATCACATGTATTTGTGTTACCAGGAAGTAGGACATGAGGTCAAACAGGGCTTACATCAGCACATTCAAGTTAAGTTTTATGCTGAACAGAAATGATGGTTGGTTGGTTTGTTGGTTAACGCTGCATTTAGCAAAATTACAGCTATATGGCAGCGTTTTGCAGAGCTACACATAATGTTTGGGGTCATTGAGCTATGTATTCGCTTGCGTTCATCTCAATTGGGTATCCTAATTTTCTTTTGAGTAACCTAACTCAAAGGAAAATTAGGATACCCAATTGACATGAACACAAGCGAGTACATAACTCAATGACCAAAAAAGTTATCTGTAGCTCTGGAAACCAAATAAATTGTACCCAGCTCAAATTCAGTTGGGCAATTTGCCATTTTTCATTAATTTTAAAAATATAATAAAGTTTAAATGTTAGTGTTTGCTATTTATATTAGATCTGTAATATAAGAAATGATAAGAAAAACTGCAAGTTGTCAAGTTCATGTCCTGAAATAGAACCTCTCAATATACCTCAGTTATTTCATCTATCCACTGGTACGAAAGCTAATATTAGCCTTTTTTGTGTGTACGCTTGCAGTCTAACCTTCTGTCAAAATCTGTCATGCAATGAGACAATTTAATTGAATTCTTTTTGCTATAAGTATTAATTTATTTAGTTTGTTAAATCTGGGTAGATTCATCAATACTTCTAAAAATTTGTTTTGTAAATTTACATGTGAACTTTGTGACATTTCAGAAGATTTGTTATTGAAAGTTATTACATGTCAAAAGCCTGTCTGGAGTTATGGAATATTTCTTATATAAACAACGCTGATTCTTGTCAGGCTTATAACAATTCATATAACTGCAATATGAATTTCATATGTCATAGTACAATACATGATACGATACACATCTCAACAAACCGACGCTGGAAAGTACAAATGCAGGCGTCATGGCAACTAGTTCAGTAGTTAGTATGATCATATTCCCTGTTAAATGGTCTTGACATGCCTCTTCTAATAACTGAATGATAAAATTCATCTTTATTCTGTCACACTACAATATGTGTTACATACTTAGCCCCCAAATGTTACCCTTGATTAGACTGTTATAGATGCTCACATACCTTAATTCCATTCTTGTTTGGTTCCCCTGTGATGTAGCTGGTGAAGACGTCCCACACGTCCTGCTCACACGTCAGCTCCGCGCCCCACAGTTTCATCAGCTCATCCCTTGTGGATCTGCTCTTCAGGTAAAACAGATGATAGTATTGCAGATCACCAAATGATGCAGCAGAAGAATTGCCCCATCGGCCATTCGGAAACTCGTCCCAGTTTGATGTGCGATACACGTAACTGTTGGGTCTGCACCTCCAGAAAATTGGCCGAATTTCTTCTTTACACCGAGCATGATTTGCTGTCAGTTTCCATGGCAACGGCTTCCTTACTTCTTCTTTCCAGAGCCCGAGTCTCTTGAGAATGTCAATAGTTGCAACTTCTCTGTTGAGGGTGTAAAAGTGGAGGCCATGGATGTCTCCAGTTTGAAGCATGGCCTTGGACATTTCCACTGCATGGTGAATACCGAAGTTGCGAATAGCCTCGTCATTGTCTTTGATAGGGTTAATAGCATCAATAATTTCTTGTGGGACTTCCAGCTTGGACAGTTTCACAATGTGTCGCAGGGACTGGTAGGCCTGGATACATGAAGGGGGGATGTCAGGCATTGAATACCTCATCATCAGAGTAACGTTAGTGTATATCATTACAATGATTTTAGTACTATTTAACCAATATAACAGCAAGGAAACCAGAAATGGGCTTCACATTTTGTACCTATGCTTCACATTTTGTACCCATGCTTCACATTTTGTACCCATGCTTCACATTTTGTACCCATGCTTCACATTTTGTACCTATGTCTCAGTGTTGGGCAGTCAAGCATGGTTTTAAATGGACAACTAAGGAACATTGGAATTTTGTGAGGACAACGCCTTAGCACACAGCAGACTATGCCTCACCAAACCACCACAATAAGTATTGTTCTATGACTCAATATTTCTCCTGTAGATAAACATTACAAGTAGCTCAGTTGGGTTTCACATAGCTTGGAACAATATTTCAGTCATATCAGTGAAATGTGGAAAGAAAGTCCCAAGTGGTGCTACCCCCATGTTGTTTACAGTGATCACAATCAGAATGACTTTTGGACTAAAATCTGACAGGTCATGCTACAAGATTCTCATGTATCTTGACGAACCTGGATGGGCAGAATTCCGGGCAGTATTGGACAGTTGATGCCGATTTCACGACAGTCTTTAAAAAACTTAAGGAATGTTTCAGCTTTGAAGAAGAGTTGTGTAATGATGAAATCAGCTCCGGCGTCAACCTTCTCCTTGAGGTAGCGGAGATCTTCCTTGTAAGATGTACACTCCGGATGACCCTGGGGGTAGCCTGGAGACAGAGGATAGAACTATACAGGAGGATGTTACGTGGAAACACTTAGCACATAATCACCAGAAACACTGGCAGCTGATACACCAGTATTACAAACCAAATATAATAGCAGCATGTGGTACATACTATATTACATGTACTGGTGAAATCATTAAAAACAACAGCAGCCAATTTAGCGGACTTCAGACTAAACTGATTAAACACATAATGTTCAATAGTGTAGAATTAGAGTTATGTCCCTTTCATCATGCAGCTAGTTGGTGGTCTACACATCGCAATATGTGATTGACACATATACATTGTATAACAAAATGTCTCTGTGTGTACAGACTAGTGTTGGGAATTGGTTAAAATCTCATAATTGATGGTTGGTTCATTACCACCGATCAATCATCAAAAATAATTGGTTAGTGTCATTTATGAAATTTGTTAATGCACAAAAAAATAAGGAAAAAAACATGTAGGTATTTGGGTTTTTTTGGCAAAATTTCACATCTTTGAAGGATGACTAGTATGATAGGAACATAAATTTCTAGGTGTCTTTAAGATAAATTCAATCCTGACTTGGAACGAGCTTATAGTGCTTATGAAATGTAACAGACAAAACCAACCTTGTGAAAAATATTGTTGATGAAAACAAGTGTTCCGGAATTGTTTGTTTTCGATTATGAGAAAACATGATCGATTGGTTGGTTGTTCAGTCACTGCGACCAATCTTCGATTATTTCAATTAATCGGATCACCACTAGTACAGACATATCACTCTAATCCCTACATCAAATCTATTGATTAGAAGGATATTTTGCTTATGCAATAAAAAATAGATGTTGATGGTATATCCACAAATAATGCAACTCAGAAAATGTTAGGCCAGTTAGTAATGCGAATCAGATTAGGACACATCAGGATGATATCATTTTCAAGAGTACCTGTCCAGGAAACATGAAACATTTCAAAGTCCAATCTTGCTTGAACACAAACCAAAAATGAACTGATAACATGCTTTCAGAAATTTTAACTGTATCATTAAAATTGCAAGTTTAAACATAAACTTAATGTGAAACAAGCCTACCTGCAACACAGACAACGAAATGATCCCCATATTCCCTCTTGATGAGGCGTACAAGGTCGACGGCGTAGTTGAGACCTCCTTCCACTGGTTTCCAATCGTCCTCTTCTGTAGGGGGGTCTGAAATAGTGGAGGATGAGCTCATCATAACGTAACTTTCATCACATTATCTAATATTTTTACATGATTGACAACTTTATCCTGATCCATAACTGATATCAACACGGACAATCGCTTGGGCGAGAGCAAGTGATATCTCCTATCAAATCCATTAACACTCATCAATAAAATTTTAACTCATTAACAAACTTCAAAGAGTTGTAAACTTTATTGACTTAAGTGGTACTATATATGACACTCGTTTGAGTCTTTTCTCATTCTTTCCATAGTATGATAACAAATAAAATAACCTATCACAGCTAAGATGCTGAGGAAAATTAAAACATTTATCTATCAGAGATAATAACACCCTATTTGCCAGAAATTCCAAAAGAAAATCAGCTGTGTCTTAAGTCTTCCTCTGGCTGAAAACCCAGTAGCCCCCCTTAAATGATCACTTGTGATACAGACACATGCACATGACACACACAAGCTCACCACAGGTGACCCTAGGAACATTTTTTCATTACCCCTCTTTCCCAATTTGAAATGACAAGTAGCTGTATAATGTTCAAATGTAGCATTTGAGGAATCAAACTAAACCAATTTTTCATGCTTTCTCAAACCACTATATAACTGGGAATACTTCTTGCATCCCATTATTTGTTGTGCCATTTTTTCCTGCCTCCCTCCCTCTCCCTATCAGATTATCCAGCCTTGTGTACATGATGCTAACTAAGTGAAGCAACAGCCTACCTCCTCTCAATGCCAGGATGTTCCTGATGCCAAGGTCCTTGGCCTTCTGTAGGTTGGACTTGATGGTGTCGATGGTCATGTTGCAGCAGGTCATGTGGAGCATGGTCTCGATGCCGCAGTAGTTGAGCATGGTGCCAGCCATGCAGGTGGAGCTGGTGGGCTTCTCCGTGTTAGACGGGTCCCCCGCGGGGTGCCACGTGATGTCACAGAACAGGGGCTTACCGTGACCCATTCTCTCAAACCTGAAACCATGGTAACTGTGTCACATCTTCTCTCATCATAGCAGGGTTGGGGTGGTGGGGTGGTGGTGTGGTGGGGTGGTGGGGTGTTGGGGTAGCCTAGTGGTTAAAGCATTTGCTCGTCATACCAGGGTTCAATTCCCCACATGGGTACAATGTGTAAAGCCCATTTCTGGTGTCCCCCACCGTGACATTGCTGGATTATTGCTAAAAGCGGCGTAAAACTCACTCACTCATAGCAGGGACATGATATTAATCACAAAAATACTAATAGTACTTTGTTTGATTGTTTATTGAATACGCCTCAGCATTATTCCAGCTATATGGCAGCAGTCTATAAATAATTGACCAGACAATTCACACTAATGTGGCTGTATTCCAATACAACACACCTGTCACATTCTATTATATTCCAGGAATGGACAGCTGGTTGTCAGGTAATCATTATCTAGAACATTTCATATAATTTACACTTTGAATGGATAGGATCCACTTTAAATTTGACACTCAAGTGATTGATTTCAAATTGTTTTAAAAAACATATGTCGCTTGACCCCACGTTATATGATTCAAAGCTGTGTAAGAGTTGACTTTGGTTATGACGTCACATGACAGTATGGAGTGAAAATAATTGTTAAATATTTTCATATATGTTTAAAATCATTTAAATCTCCGAAAATATAATGCACAATGTTTGTTACATCATGCTAACTAACAATATTAAAACATTAATTAAACCTTTTACAACAAAACAATGCAAATCAGTATAATGTCTGTCAGCATGTTTTAAATTCACGCAAACAAAATACTCATTTAGGGCCCCATGAGAATGTAAAGAACGGTGAGTCATGCATAATAAAGATCAGCACACAACAGCTAGGCACAGCTGTAGCATTGGACTATATAAATAGAGGCAATGAAGAACGTAATATTTTCCACAAAAGAATGTTTTATCAAAGTGTAAAAATTTGGATGGGTTTCTAGAATGGAAATATCTGTTCTTTAATGAGCCTCAGCTCTATCATTCATAGGGAATGGTGAGCTACTCTGAAACTCCCCTCTATTGCAACAGTATTGTCAAACCAGGATGACAACTGTGACCGTTCTGTAGATTTCCATGCAGCGCTTGTCATAATGTCAAAGTCCAACATATCCCACTTTCACCAGATAATGGAGGACGGTAGCTCTGGTTATCTGATATCTGTGCTGGATAACCAAAGATCTCAAGGGAAAGAATCAATTCCTTTCATAATGCCTTTTGATAGTGTAAGGCAAATTTGATTGAATATTTTAACTTTTTAGTGGTATTTTGCCACTAAGCCATGGGCAAATGCAACACATCCTTATTTTCCCATCATTATTTGTAAAAACAACATTTTGAATGCATTTAGGCAGTTACAACACCATATCAGCAGAGTAAGGAAGGTTCTTTAAAGTTTAAGCCAGAGTTCAGCTCAATAACAGAGGGAGAAAATGTCCTCACTTTCCATAATGCAATATCTTGCAGAGTTGTTCCCCTTTATTGTGCTCTGCTCTCCAAAGTAAAGTGATTTTTGAAGACAGGTATCTGTGTCTTTGTAGGCCTTCTCAAATGCCATTCTATCATGTTTCCAGGCAATTTTTCAAATGATTACAAAACAGGTGTTTTCCTGATAAACCGGCTTAAACCTTTTTTGTAACCTAAATCAGTGTTGGGCGTTTTGGATGGTCACTCTGTACTTCATACCAAGCATACCAGATTAAACAACACTGAAATACCACCAGCTTAATACATATTGTAAATAATGAACTAAATGTGATCATGAAATTAACCAGAAAAAATACATTGACAATGACATAGTGTGACATTTTCATCTTGAGTGAGTGAGTGAACATGGTTTTACGCTGCTTTTAGCAATAGTCCAGCAATATCACGCAATATAGGCAATCGAACCTGGCTCTTTGGCGTGATGAGCAAACGCTTTAACTACTTGAGCAATAACCCTGCAACATCACGGCAGGGGACACCAGAAATAGGCTTCACACATTGTACCCATGTGGGGAATCAAACCTGAGCCTATTGTGTGACGAGTGAACGTTTTAACCACTGGGCTACCCCACCGCCCCTTTTCATCTTGATATTGGAGTTTACTGTCATGTCATGTTAATGAGCCAAAAGAAAGTTACACACACCACATCCCATAAAAGACAATGCAACGGAGTGCTAGATTAGTGCTTCTCGGAGCATAAAATGTGTTGTCAAATTAATGACTTTTCAAAATGACCTGATGGTTATATGTGGTGAAATCTTCACCAGTCAAGTAAATTCAGGTTGGGGTTTGTGACTGAATTGTGTGGTCTGGTTCAAGTGAGAGCACACAACACTATTCATATTCTTATCAGATCAGAGACACATCCATATAAAGTTTCAATGCATTTTGTAAAGCATTTTTTTGAGAATAATAATGTATTATGCTTTGCAACTTCCATGGCTCCAGATATCTTTTTGAGCTATTTTTTTTACTAATTCACTGGGTTCTATCAGTTGTTGGTCTCGATGAGCTTCTAATGAATATAAATGAGCTTTCTGTGGATTAAGTGTTTATTATTCGGAAAGAAATATGAGAACATCTAAATAGGGTTAATTTTTCGGTTGGGCGAAAACTTTTATTTAAGACTTTTAATAATGGAATAATGGAGTGAAAGAAATATGTGTCTATGAAAATCACCTTCCAATGAGATTGACTGCTCCATTGGCTGTTCTGGGTGGGAAGTACTCTAGTGAGAAAAAGTGATCTCCAGAACCGATCCTGCGATTGATGCGGTCAATCAGTCTGTGGTAGCGGGGGGTCCAGTGAAGGGGGGTCTGGGACCGTGATGACCCTGGAGATGCTCCTCCTTCTGAGGATGCAGAGGAAGAGCTATCAGACTGACTGCTCGCATTGGGACACAGCTTGTCTATCTCAGGCATGACTCCGTCGAACTGAAAATATAAAACACAGACGATCACTGTAGCTGCTAGTCTCGACTGACACTTAGTACCTGAAAATATAATTGTGATGGAAGCAAGCAATTGTAAAGAAACTGAACTGAAACCATAGTGAGATGAGGGAGTGAGTGTGGTTTTGTCGCTTTCAGCAATATTACAGTAATATCACGGTAGGGGACACCAGAAATGGGCTTCACACATTGTATCCATGTGGGGAATCGAACCCGGGTCTTCTGTGTGACGAGTAAAGGCTTTAACTGCAAGGCTACGCCACCTTCCCCATAGTGAGATGATACTTGTTTTACTTCATTTAGAACAATAGCATTACAGTAGGGGAGAAAATACGGTCCATGGACTGTGAGACTGTCAGAAGTGCTGTATCCGATAATACAGGAAGTAGCATCTGTGTTTGTTCACTGTTTGTTGCATCACGCTGTGTTCTGCAGTGTCCAGCTGTATGACAGTGGATCAGACCACCATGTGGTCAACATCATGAGCACCCGTCAATCAAAGTGGGATACCAAATCATGCCTCAACCAAGCCTGCCCACCCAATATTGTTACGTATCACTCTCTTCTATTTTGTGTGTGTGAGTATAGTTTTATGTTGCTTTTAGCAATATTCCAGCAATATCACAGCGGGGGAAACCAGAAATTTCATGCATTGTACCTATGTGGGAAATAGAGCCTGGGTCTTCCACGTGACAAACCAGTGCTTTAACCACCTGTGTTTGAAACGGGAAGATAGATCCTGCCAGTATTGGGATCAACTGCTTGACAAAAACATTTGGAGCAGTTCATTATTCAGCATATTTCACAACAAGAGAATTGGTGCATGCTTCTATAACATTGCAACATGCTCCTTAAACAGGAAATATATCCGAGACGTTTGTTATCTTATCAAGAGGAAGACCTGTTGATCTGACAATGAAGGTCAACACAAAATAACTAAAGGAATGATGCTTGGACAGAAGCGCCACTGGGTTATCAATCAATGCCATTGTGCCTTTTGGAATACAAGCGAGTCAGCAAAAAGGAAAACTTGTCACCTTCATACCTTGTTCATTTTACAATGTCTACTGTGAGTTAGATAGTAAGTGGCTGTAATTTTCAGTTATCCTCATGTGCATTTTAGAACAATCATTGTAAATGTTTACATTTTTATTTGTTCCTGTTTCGCCTGCCCCTGTGGTAACAAAATGAATATGTGGCTCTTTCAAAGATTTATTTTCATAAAAGAAAAACCATGAAAAATACATATTTCTCCCTATTCAGTCAGTTTTAAAAGATCACAAGAAACAGCAATATTTTTTAACTGACCATCTAACTTTTAACTTACAGTGCATGATACCATTCAAAACACCCATTTCATATAGGAAGAGTGAGTGTATTTTTACATGGCTTTTTGCAATATTCCAGCAATATCACGGCAGGGGACACCAGAAATGGGCTTCATACATTGTACCCATGTGGGGAATCGAACCCGGGTCTTTGGCGTTGCGAGGAACTCTTAACCACTAGGCTACCCCACAGCCCCTATTTCACATAGAAACTGACACACACAATGAGGCAAGTCTACTGAATCTTGATTAATAAGACTGGAATTATCTCACCAGTTCTTTTGCTGAATACAGAGATTGCTGGAGCGTGGTTTAATGACTGATAGTAATTCATCCTAAACCATTGTGTGTCTTGAGATGTTTTTTATGGCTGAACATAAATATTTGGGAAACCTTTATGAATTACTGTATGGTCAGACCGATGTCATCTTTCTTAAGGATGATATAAAAGTTAAAACATTTCTAAAATGTGTGATTACAAGCGTGTGTTCACATTGAGTATTTATACCTTATTCCCATTAAAAAATGTTATGGTAAACTTACCTGAAGTTAGCAACACACATATGAGCAAAACATTTATTTTCTTCTCATACATGAACTGAAAAGATTTTGTTGTCTGTGGAATGTCATAGCTACTCATAAATTGTGTCAAACAAGAATTAATACCAGTATTATTTCAAAACAAGGAAAGTGTAATGCATGACCAAACATTTAGTAATTTGTCATATTCCCCTAAGTCATGACTGAATATGCCTTTCCTTATAATCAGACATAATCGTAGTAATAAATCGTGTACATGATAATAGATCATAACGTATACTTTTACAAAAGACTTGTACCTGTTAATTTGACAGATGTCAGCTGATCTGACAGCTGACAGATATTTCACTAAAACGGTTTGACATTTGGGATGTTTCTCCATAAGCCTCAGCATTCATTTCAATTGCAACAGGTTAATGATAATGTTTCTTCTGTGCGTCGGATGACTAGCAGCAGTCAATATAAGTTTACAAAAGCATCCTTTGTTTAAATGCATCCTTTCTCCACACAATCTCATTGTCAAAACTAAATGTCTCAAATAATGCTAATATTACAAAACCACGATCTCTGCGCTTGAAAGGTTAATTTTCCAAGGACAAGTGATCTTTTGTCTAACGAATAAAATTATATGCATTTGTAGTTGCTGAACAATTTGTGCCATAGAAAACTTAGAAATATATTGCGACGAGAAGTCACTGTTACCTACCGATTGATAACTAACGAAGAGGTAGTATGTTGGGGCTTCGCCGTATTTATGCTATCAGTAACCAATCAAAATTGAGCATTATAGGTCAACCTTGCGGACAATCTGTGTACTAAGGGGAGATTACTGGGAACACTATACCGTGTCCAATGACGAGATGAGACAGTGAGAGATTGACAGCTTGGGTCAAGTAAACCTTCAGTAAACTGTTAATGGTTGTAGGTCGCGTGTAAATTTCCGTCACTAACAATGCCGATGATATATTCACTGTGTTGCATTTAAATAGTAAGGATTTTACTGCCTGTGGAATATATCAATTTAAAAAAACAAATGACAATGTTTGACTGTTGAAGACATTGGCTTTTATTCACATTACACGTGTTCTGAAAGTTTATTAACTGACCATTGAAACTCGTGAAGTGTGCTCCCCCACTTTCTCAAAAAGCTGTATCCGCCCCTGATGCTGGTCGTTAAGGGCGATTGACGGGACGAGGTGGTCAAGCTCGTTGACTTGGTTGACATGTCATTGCATCCCTTTGCAAAGACCGATGTTCATGATATGTCAGTCACGGGATCGTCAGACTGGAATATTTACTGACGCCGTCATATAGCTGGAATATTGCGCCGAGTGCGGCATAAAACAACATACCCACAACGGGGTTCTTTGTACTCTAACGTACACATAACATGATATGACAAACAATGAGACTAAAAAAGTGCAGAATGTTATCGTTTAAGAGTGACCATAGTTTTCGCCGTTTTCAGCAGTATTCAAGCACATCACAGTAGATGACACAGGAATGTACTTCACACATTGTTACTATGTTTGGAGTGGAACTCGGGTCTTCGGCGTGACGAGCGCACGTTTTAACCACTGGTCTACCCCACCGCCTCTTTCATTTAAGAGACGGATGAGGGACGAAAGATCAGAGAGATCTAAATGCTTTAAAACCCGGCAAAAAATCACCGACCAGAAGATTTAAGTGTATGCTCTTTGTTTATCATATGGTCGGCGGAGATAAACATTAATCTTTTCTAAAAAAAACTGAAAAAAATCCCGACGTTTTGCATGAAATGGATATAACAATAGATAATGATAGATAGATGGAGCAGCTACCGAAAGTAACACAAGTAAACTCGTTAGTAATTTATTCAAAAAGAGATACTAATATGAGATTTGAAAAGTTTGCATAACGTATGTTTCAGTTATCAAAAAACACTACTTTTCTCAACTTTTTAAAAAGTCAAGTTAACAATTAAATACTGATCAAAGATAAAGATGAGAATTAATATACCCGTAATCAAAAATAGACCACCGTGTCCAAATATCAACATTAGATATTTTATTCTATACACGTGTTCTTGACTTGCTTGATAACGGTGTTAGTACCTACACCGAAACGTCGCACTCATTGCAATAAAGAAGTTAATTCTCCATAGAACTTGGTTTTCTTTCACCTCTTAATCTTTATAATAATATGTATTCAGAGAGCACACAATGCCAAAATGAGCTCTTCTCTAATCGAACAACATGTCCATGTCCTTAAAACGACTCAGAGCGTGCAACTGCTAACTACATGAATAAACAAATAGGTGTGCTTTTGTAACCAGATATATATAACATGCTATATTCGGGATTACTCGTTCCGATACACTGCATAAATATGTAACCGAACCGGGAAGATGCACCAGCTTGCTGTATGTAGATAGTACTAGCTGGGATATGTGATGCAACAGAGCGGAGCACCTGTATAATATTTCACAACCAGGCAATAAATGTCAGTACTCAGTACTAGCGTGAAGGAAATTCATCAAATGAATTGACACAGCCGTCACTAGACGTGCGCGCTTTCATTTTAGTCATTGTGTATGTCGACATGCTTCTGACTGACTGATATGCTTTTAGCAATATTCCAGCAATATCACGGCGGGGGACACCAGAAATGGGCTTCACTCATTGTACCCACGTGGGGATTCGAACCCGGGTCTTCGGTGTGACGAGCCAACGCTTTATCCACTAGACTACCCCACCGCCCCTTCGACATGCTACTGGAAGTTGTTTGTGTAAAGGACGCTGTTGTATAGGTTTTAATATGGGACAGTGCGGGTAGGAGGACACTGCGATATATATCCATCATTACCATATTTTATTTCATAAAGAAATAGAATGTGACATTTTTTTCATGCTACACTCATTCCATCTTCCCAGCTGTGGTAGATTTTCGCGTACGCACTCACGCACACATGCATGACAAACCTGCATCATCCCGCCGGCCCCAGATGACCAGGAGGGCGGTGGGGTAGTCTAGCGGTTATGGTGTTCGCTCGTCACGCCGAACCCCCCTCATGTGTACAATGTGCGAAGCCCATTTCTGGTGTCCCCCCGCCGTGATATTGCTGGAATGTTGTTAAGCGGCTAAAAACCTATTCTCTCACTCACTCACTAATGACCGGCCGCCAAGGATTAGATTGGCGAGTCGTAATATGCTGTCTTTGAAATGACTCCATCCATTGTTTTGACCAAATCGTTACCAATGTGACTATTCCCTCACGCTGACGTGGCCACATTTATAGCATACATAATTTCCAGCAGTCCGAAAGCCGGAGCAGATATGCATTGAATTTCACACAGCGAGAGAATGCCCTAGATGTATCTCATTGAACATTGTGCTGCTCAGCTCGGAGTCATGGTGGCTGGGTATTATTGCTATGATAAGTTAACGTACCCGAGGCGTCGGCTATTTGGAACTGTCTGGCTTAATGTCGGAGGGGGGAATCATTTCCAGATAGTCTTAAATTGTGGCACCTTTTGATTATTTATGTCTAAAATATCCCGTGGATAACCGCTATGATAAAGGGGCGTAAGTGAAAGGTTAGTGCGAGGTGTCTGGAATGGTGTGTCTTCAATATTCTACAATGTGTAAAGTATTGGGACAGGTACTGGGTCTGTGTGTGTTATGTATCATGGTGTCGGGGACACTGCAAGGTGTTCTGTATCAGGTGTCTGGGATACTGCAAGGTGTTATGTATCATGGTGTCGGGGGACATTGCAAGGTGTTATGTGTCAGGTGTCGGGGACACTGCAAGGTGTTATGTATCAGGGTGTCTGGACACTGCAAGGTGTTATGTATCAGGGTGTCTGAGACACTGCAAGGTGTTATGTATCAGGGTGTCTGGGACACTGCAAGGTGTTCTGTATCAGGTGTCTGGGATACTGCAAGGTGTTATGTGTCAGGTGTCGGGGACACTGCAAGGTGTTATGTATCAGGGTGTCTGGACACTGCAATGTGTTATGTGTCAGGGTGTCTGGGACACTGCAAGGTGTTATGTATCAGGGTGTCTGGGACACCGCAATATGTTATGTGTCAGGGACACGGCAAGGTGTTATGTGTCAGAAACACTGCAAGGTGTTCTGTATCAGGTGTCTGGGACACTGCAAGGTGTTCTGTATCAGGTGTCTGGGACACTGCAAGGTGTTATGTATCATGGTGTCGGGGGACACTGCAAGGTGTTATGTGTCAGGGACACTGCAAGGTGTTATGTATCAGGGTGTCTGGACACTGCAAGGTGTTATGTATCAGGGTGTCTGAGACACTGCAAGGTGTTATGTATCATGGTGTCTGGGACACTGCAAGGTGTTCTGTATCAGGTGTCTGGGACACTGTAAGGTGTTATGTATCATGGTGTCTGGGGACACTGCAAGGTGTTATGTGTCAGGTGTCTGGGACACTGCAAGGTGTTATGTAGCAGGGTTTCTGGGACACTGAAAGGTGTTATGTCAGGGTGTCTCGACACTGCAAGGTGTTATGTACCAGGGTGTTTAGGTCACTGCAAGGTGTTATGTGTCTGGGTGTCTGGGGGAGTGCAAGGTGTTATTATTATTATTATTATTATTATTATTGGATATTTATAAAGCGCACATATCCACGCACTAGTGCATGCTCTGACAACACTGAAAGAGTCTGCACACAAAGCTGACTCCAAGGTTTCTACACCCGGTCACAGGTGGGCTCGATCCCGGCACCTCATGCTCGCTGGATCACTAGCCTGGTGCCTTAGCCAGCTCGAACACCACATCCCATGTGGTTATTTACCGACCGCTGCCATACAGCTGGAATATTGCTGAGTGCAGCGTTAAACAAAAAACCAACCAAGTTGAAAAACCGATTAATCATGTTTTTCATTGAAAGTGAGACTAATTATTTATACTTGGTTAGGTAAATTGGAATATAGTATTCATGTTCGTGTTTTTGTCCCCCAGTCCGATTTAATTAGATATGAATGTAAACATATGTTACAGCGGTTGAGCAATTTTCTCTATTTTCCTATGAATATATAATATTAATGCAGCTATGTTTTTTAAGCTGTACGTCATTGGGACAGCTGGGATATTGCCTCTTTCTGAAGCTGCACAGCTAATGTATCATGGCAACTGCCGTATTTTCCACAATAGATGCTTCTGTGAGGTGAGGTGAAATTGGGTTTAACGTCGCGCTGGAGAATATTTCGCTCATATGACGACGTGCATGCGTGTGTATGTGTATGTGCGGCTGCTTGTACTAGCCCAGACTGAAGCTGGTTTTATAGTGCTAGCCCATTGAGATACCATGCCGCAGTGAAGCATGAATACCCCACTCAGACACATTATACTGACTCCGAGCAGACCAGTCCTTGTTGTACCCATTAATACTGAGCGTCAGGCAGGGACCAACAAGTACCATATTTTAACGTCTTTTGGTATGACGCGGCCGGGGATCGAACCCGCGACCTTCCGCTCTCCGGACGGACGCTCTAACCACTACACCACGGAGGCGGTCAGATGCTTCTGTTTATGTTATTGGATGTATGATAGGGGCATGGCGTGTATGAGAGACCTGGTATTATAGAGACAAGGCACCCTATCCGTCATAGCACTACGCCATTCGTAGAGTTACCCAATTGTATGTTTCTTGTCACCTCCTAGACACACCCGATCCTTCTCTGTACTCGTCTATTGCACCTTACAATCATAAGCAGGACATTTGTATAGCGCTGATCTCC